ATAAGATGTAGTCCATAGTTTGTCGTTGATAACTGAAATCTTTTACTAAGAGGATGGGCACATATGTATATGTTCAAACTATCTATCTATCTACAATTAGTCTAAATTAAAGTGAACCTGCACTTTCAACTCTTATCATATTACTCGTAGATTATCTTCTGGTGTGTTTACATATTAATAATCAATGTCCTTACATAAATTTTATATTTCAAACATATATATTCTATAAATAGATAAATAAATAAATAAATATGATTCCAAATGTATTTCAAATTGTGTGCATGAAGGCAATTGACAATGTAGCTTTGAATTTCGAGAAAGTCTTTTTCGCTGAAGTTTTGAAATTTGAAATGTTGTGCTTATTACAAATAAAGCACGGAAATATATTAATTGCACCTATGTTGAGGGTTGTAGTAAGAATATGCCAAGCAATGGGCTCCACGCGCAATATGAGTCTATATATAAATTTTTACAATAATAACTATATTATTAGAAAGATTCAGTCTTAGCCTCACTTGGATTCTTTGAAACTTCAAGAAAAATGACTTAGTCCACGGGTTAGTTCTCTAAATATGAACCTTGTAGGACAAAATGACCCTTCTAATAATAAAATGTAATACATAATGATTATATAATAAGATGATATTGCTTGTCGATGTAATTAGGTAGGTTGATGATCATTTGTTGGCAGCTTTGCGCCATGAGGTAGTATGAGCTTTAATGATTCAAAATCAGATATTTGCTTGATGGGACCCCATCAAAACTTAAATTGCGTGATGGGACCCATCAAGTTTCAATTTACCCGATGTAACTCCACGGACGTTACATAGTCGATGAGTTCTAATAAATGTTCTAGTACAAAAATGATCTAATTTGTGTTTCTGCAATGGCTTCGACGGCGTGCCACTAGAGTTTAACAAATTTGGATATGCTCTTGGCCGGAAGATTTCTTGACGCAAACGAATTTATCGAAGCTTCTGGACTGTAAGGGTTGCATTCACGTTTCAAAATCAAAATTAAATTGCTTAATGGTACCCATCAAGTTTCAATTTACCCGATGGGACCCCACGGACGGCACACCGACGATGAGTTCTATTAAATGTTCTAGTACAAAATTTTTTTAATTTGTGTTTCTGCAATGGCTTCGATGGCGTGCCACTAGAGTTTAACAAAATTGGATATGCTCTCGTCCGCAAGATTTCTTGATCCAATCGAATTTATCGAAGCTTTTGGACTGTAAGGGTTGCATTCACGTTTCAAAATCAAAACTTAAATTGCTTGATGGTACCCATCAAGTTTCAATTTACCCGATGGGACCTCACGGACGGCACACCGTCGATGAGTTCTATTAAATGTTCTAGTACAAAAATGTTCTAATTTGTGTCTTTGCAATGGCTTTGACGGCGTGCCACTGGAGTTTAACAAAATTGGATATGCTCTCGTCCGCAAGATTTCCCGACCCAACCAAATTTATCGAAGCTTCTGAACAGTAAGGTTTGCACTCACGTTTCAAAATCAATCTGCACAAGCATAATGAATTAACAAAATTCCTTTTGGATATGGAAACAATGAGAAACAAATTAGAGAAACAGTGCAATGCCAATGACAGTACAACTTTCACCTCTAGTAATTGTGAGTTCTTTCGTCAAACCATCAAATTTCTGCTCTAACAAATCTACAACACCAGACTACCACAATGAAGATTTCTGCATACATGAATTGTTGTGAACAATTCATGTATGTATGAATATAGCATTGTATTTTGTGTGTTGTGGTCGAGAGCAGAATAAAAAAAGTGTTGTTAATATTTAACATTTATTTTTTATATCTCAAAGTGAAAATTTCTTTTTTAAAAGGCATTATATGAATTTAAGGTAATTTTTAATGCTTTGAATTTTAGCAAATTGAATAAATATATCTTAAAAAAAAATCGAAGTCAGTCTAGTCATTCTGATAAAGTTGGAGCATTTTATTTTTTTTAAACTCAAACATACAATAAGGATACTTATTGGAATATGGACTTATTTTGATGATTGGCACTCTGGTTCGAATTAAACCATAGAGTTGTATTTGCATTGGCTACACATAGCTACTAAACTCTAGTGCTCAACTATGTGAAATCAGTTTTAGAACGGAGTGGTTAAAGGTATGTGCATGATTACCATTTCTAGATTTGTGTGTGTCATCCTTGCACAGGGGCCATGCTAATCTTCTATGTATCGTTCCAATTTTATATCGGATGTCCCCGAGGGGTACATCCGATATATTATATCACAAAACTCTGAGTTGGTAGGTCCGTGACATTGCGTGTGAAGCAGTACAAGCTTGTGTGTGACATATCTCAACTATGCTAGATTTTCTCATGTTGTGATAAAAAACATTTATGTGTATTCCAATGTGAATATGAAGTAATGGACATGTGATGCTTGGAATAATTAAAGTATAACATTTTATGAATGATGCCATTTTTTATGTTGTTAAAGAATGTGCAGGAGTAAAATCATTATTTTCCTTTATTTCAAATAAAGGTTTTTGTGTTATGGAGAAATTTTCTTTTCCTGCTAATAAGTTTGATGTCTAGTTTGTCTTCTACTTGGTTTCATGTAAGCTCTCTATGAATTCTTATGTCTATGGATAGGGTTACTAATGTACATATGTTGTTGAAAATAATTGCAGTTTTTTTTTTAAAAATATTTGCATAATGTTCACTTTATGTAACATGTTACTTTTTTTCCCTAGAAATATGAAAAATTATTTGGATAAAATAAGTAAACAATCTGGAAGATTAAAGTATGAAGATGTGTTGTAAGGTATAACTACCTTCATTGTCATACCCTTAACCTTGCATGATTCTAAATCCAAACCCCTAGATAGTAAACTGCCTTGTTCAAAGTTGCCTTCATGTTGAGTTTCTGCGCAGGAACGGAGGAAAAGTGTGTGTTGAAGGAATAAGGCCGGTTTCTTGCTGGAACGTGCATTTCTTAGAATTAGAAGGCGTGCGTTATTTCGTAGATGTGAAACGTGGAATCAGATGAGCCGTGGCATGAGCCCCATTGAAATGTTGTACCGTTCAACAGTCTGACCGCCAGAACATATAAACTACAGAGTTAAACCTCCCAATAGTGACACATAACCGTTCTAGAGTTTTATGTCACTATTCGGAGGCGTCACTCACAAGAGGATATCTAATCTTTTCCCGCCTTATTTGCGTTCGATGTGCGCTTCTTTCTTTCTCAACAAATCTGTCATAGTGCCTTCGGGGCGTTTCTTTCTCTCTCGCTACAATCTGTGTCAGTTGTTATGCATTAGGTAGTCGTTTCTCTCCCAACGCAATCTGTCACAGTTGTTATGCATTAGGTGGTCGTTTCTCTCTCAACGCAATCTGTACTTGTTTGGAGGGAGTTTTTTTTCTCTCTTAATCTACACCCGTTTTTATTCACACATGTCTAAACGCAAGCGTTGTTTGGACGTGAAGACGAAGTTGGAAATTTTGGATTTTCTGAATCAGCCCGGAGCCACCCATGAAAATTTGAAAATTGAAATCTTTCGACTTGTTTTCCTCCTCATGGATTTGGCTCCATCCTCACCAACTTGAAAAGGCGTGAAAATATCCCACTGGCAGAACCGACCTGTTCTTCTTTCCACTCAATTTGTCTCAATTTCCTTCCAGCACTCTTCCCACAAGGGTTTAAACATCGCACAACCAGATTGCAACGAGTGAGCAGTGACAAACGTATGATATCGTTGACGTCTTCGCTCACATCATTTGATCAGTGACACGGATTCAAGGTCTGAGAACATTGTAACCACTGAGAAGACTTGAGATAGACCAATCAGCAAGCTCCGAAAGTAGACTTTTAACTCTGAACAAAGACTTTTGGTAATTATGATAGCTATGAAAGGTCGACATAGTGACTCTTGAAAAATCTAATGACACTATTAACAATAGTGACGTCCTGTTATTATTGGATAAAATTACCCTTTGGATAAAATTACCCTTTAGAAACTAATGATTCTTCATTTTCATGTCACTAATGGGAGGATGTCACTCACAAGAGGTGACACTATCGGGAGATTTAACTCTGTAAAGAAGACTACAGTATATTACTTCTATACCAGGAGCGTTATACGTGTAGAGGCACACAAGACAAAGAAGAGTACTTTCGAGAATAATATCTAGCATAGGAAGTGTTTTCCTCCAAGTAACTCTGACCCAGATCAAATCAAGTTCCGTTATACCATATTGATGTAGACGGTTCAAGAATGACCAGAGCAAACTCCATCAAATTCCTCAGATGAAACCTCAGTGAACCAGGTTAAGAACAACTAAGACTGGTGACATAGCTAGTCGATCGAATCACCTACTCCAGAAGACCAAGGTCTCTGCAGAATGCAAAAAGCAAAAGCTCTGCGATTCATTGCGGTAGGCCGATGATCACGATGGGCCACGATTTGTAAATCAATCAACGAAATTGGATTGCCGATCTCCAATGTCCTGTAGGAACTTTTCTTAGCGATTCTGTTGAGGCTGCTGACTGACCGACTGACTTCTAAAACTCCTCCCTGTTCGCTTTAGGTCAGGAGATCACTGTTCAAAATTTACTTGGGTTTGGGGTATTGACTACTATGCTCGTCCAGCCCCCGCGACATTGCACGACATGTTTGCTCCTCCTCATCAGATGCTGATTGAACAGTCATTGCCTGACATTACTGTTATTCGAAAGAGGCTGTGCGTTTATTGTGACCCCTTCGTATGATGGTATAAGACCATGAAGCTTGTGTACAACATGTGTTCTTGACACCGTTGCATATGTTTTTAGACATGACTGAGATTCTACCCATTTGTTTGTGTTGAATTCAGAGTTCAAATAAGACCCTCTCGACACTCGTCGGTGAAGTTAATTCTCTCCCGACACAACAATCACCTCTTTTAAGGACGTTCGCAATCAGATAGTAAACGAAGGCACCAAGAAGACACTTGTTTCTCGTTGAGCTGTTTCTCGAATCAGATAACAAACGAATTAATTAAGAGAGGTACCATGGAAACCTCTGGCTTGAGTTTCTTCAAAAGCCACATTCAGCTTTAGCTGATCTTAGCTTCTCGAGAAACTCAAGCCATGCCGTTAGAACTCGAAGATTCAAGTGCAAATAGACTAGCAAGGTCCATTATGATCAGACGGTTAGTAGAAGAATATTTAGTAATGAGGACGACTGTTAATTGCACCTCAGCATCTGCACAAGACACCGAAACTTTCATGCCATCGGCTTGGTTTCAAATGATACAACTTCTCTGTACACCACAAGAGGCGTACTGTGACTACAACTGCACTTGCGAGCAGTTCAGTCCCAAGTACTACTCCTGTGCTTCACACCCTACCGCCTTGTGAAAACAAATACTGTACCTCTGGATCCTCTACCCAGCCTGAGATAGTCATCAAGGTATATTATAGAGATTTTCACAGATGACATTCCTCCGTATGTGAACTTGAAGGGGCCTATCTGTAGATCAGGCGGTTGAAAATCAACCTGTATCATCTTGTCATCTAGAGGTGTGAGCTTTCCTGCGCAATGAAACAAGAAAGATGGAAACGAGTTAAACCACTGAACTGAATTACAAGAGAGACTGTGATCGTCAAGCAAAACTTCGTTATTGCTTAGACTGGTGCACCTTCTTTGTTACGTGTTCATTTCCTGTGTAATCTCTGCATTTTGGTAGCACACACCTGCCTTCACTATGTTTTAGTAGGTCAAAAACAAAACGAGACAACAAAGTTGCCGTTGTGCTTGGAGCTTTTGATAGCAGGGAGGTGTGAACACCTTCGCACCTAAGCTATCGAGGTCCGATTTTTTGAATTGTGGATCTCACGTCTGTATTCCTATCCAAGTTTCCTTGTCAACATTTTGTTAAGCTCCAGAGAAGTCTAACAACTGGGACAAATATTACCATTCAGATTCACTTCTCCGCCGATGAAGCCAAACAAGGCAAATCGGACAACATTCGAGACAACGTCAGGCGAAATCACGCTCTGAACCATGTCCCTGGTTCTGAACAAGATTCGGCCTATGAAGGTACGATACGGTCCTCCAGGAGAGGTCGGATTTGAAGAGTATGCAACATTCCAATCTGCGGTCAGCCAATCCACCCATTAGTGTCCCGAATGTGCGTTACATCCTAGAATTCCCATTTATGATTGTGTCAGAAGAAGATACACAGAGGATGAAATAGTGGCACGGTTTGCACCTCCAAATATGAGAGGGCTTTTGAGAGGTTCTGGCATTCCTATTTTCTCAAGTTGGTCGACTACGTCGGCAACATTGGCTTGCTCCTCTGCTCCGAGCAGTGCTCCCCTGTCAGAATCTTTCACCTGGAATCTTCATCAATATCCGACCGATCAATTAACTTCACATAAAAGAGAGCCCAAAGAGTCTCTCAACGAGGAGAAAAAGAGTGCATCACTTTGTGCCAAGTCAATAGACATTATCAAGATGAATGCGAAATGAATGACGCTGAGATAAATTTTCTTCTCTGCTTGACGAGTCAAAGATTACATATGCCTTGTAGCAATTCGGTTAGAAATTTGATCGTATTTTTTTCTCCTCATATGCTGAAAGCGGACAGTTGTAGCAGATGAGCAACTCACCAGGGACAGTAGCTTGTCGACAAGCTGGGACGCAGATTCCTCCGACGCCTCTGCCTCTGAGGTCTGTGCAGTATCTGCGGAGACTGCAGACACAACGGACCATCGCAAGCTGGTTCTCTTCTCCGAAAACCCTAGAGAATGTAAGGGTTTAAGTTTTCCGCTTCCCAGATTCCTCCCTCCGAAATTGTACGTCAGGAAATTCGAAAAGTCTCTGCTCGAGGACAGATAAGCAACTCGAAGCTTTGCGTTTCCATTCCCGAAGGAGACGACGGAAGGGGAACACCCACGTGAACAAAAGGAGCAGGGTTTTCCATTGGAATCGGAGTACAGCAGAGATGAGGAAATGCTCGCTGGAGAGATCACAGAAGAAGCGGAGGACGCCATTGCTGCATCGATGGATAGCGAACTCGGGCCAAATTCCTCGATGCCCTGTTCCGTTCGTCGATACGATGCCAACGCGGTTGACCAGTCTGCTCCTCTAACGAAGATCCTGGCTTTGAGCTCGAGATAAGAACATTACGGATCATCTTGGAACCGGTGGACCTATCCCCTTACGCAATCCTCCATCTGGACGATCGTTCTTGTATCCAACCTCACTGCGACGCTCTTCCATTGAAGAACATTCGAAATGACCTCCAACGCTCCTCCGAACGACCTTCACAATGTGCCACAGCAGCAGCATCAGCTATTCCGACGGCTTCGAAAGAATTTCCAATTCACTCGCGGCTGAAAGTAAACTCGAAGCGTCCTCTTCCATCCTGTCTCGTGGTCACCAACTTTGTTACTGCCTCGGAATTCGGAGTGCAGTTCCTCATCTACGGTCAAACCCAGCTGAAATCAGCTGCTTGCAAGAAGAATGAGATTATAACGAAAAGTCATCACACTTTCATACTATCCCAAAGTATGAAAGTAATGATTTTGTATGGTTGGTTATGAGGAAAAACGTTGACTACAAGGTATACTCATGTACACGTCAACTATGAGTTGTTCTGATATCACAATACATAAGTTTTCATGCTGCACAGATAAGTTGATGAATTTCATATGCTATTTCTCAAAATGTCTGCAATGACACTTAGGTTAATTACAGATTGTAATCTAACCGAAAGCTTTCGATCACATGCTCAATCTACCTGACCATAATGTTAATACAAAAGTTGTGAATATATAATATACATGAAACTTGTTTCATGTATATCATGTGAGTAAGATAAACGGATCCCTGTGATTTTCTGTAAGTTTCAAACTAACTACCTGGTGTTATTCATTCTGATATTCCATCCACATTTTATTCTTTTTTCCAGTGAGTCTATTATTCCTTCCAGTGCTTGATGTTAAAGTCCAATTCAAATTCAGATAAAAGTGTTTGAATATACTATTCATGAATGAAAATTTTCTCTTTCTTTATCATATTCTGTGATTTTTTTTAATCCTACTTTTTCTTTTGAAAATCAATATTATCATAAAAAATTATTGAAATGATTTTTTCATGCTATAAATTTCATAAAATTTAATTTTTTATGTTTTAAAAGATGAATAACTTATTATAGTTATTTTAAAAAATAAAAATAAAAAAAATAATAGAAAAAGAAAAAGAACTATTATAGATATCATAAGTTTCATAAAAAAAATTATTTTATTGTAAATTCCTCTTGGATCTTGCGCCCATATTAATTGCTTTCAATCATAAATGTTTACCCGCTCATTTATTCGATGCGGGGACTATGCGGATATCTGTAGGGAAACTCATTACAGGTTTAGTGAACTGGTTGTCATGGTACGAGGTGTAAGTATCTAATTGTTAGCTTGGTTAAGTTTTGCCTATCCTAGTTGCACATATAGAAATAAAGTAAGAACATGTCCGCAAGTATGTACTCAACCCTAGAGCTCTCCCGATTACATATAGCTAAATTTTTCGACGGATGTAGCCATTGCAGTTTGACTTCAAATTTATCCCACTGTTGTTACTGTAAACAAGGTCATAAACATGTCATATAATGCTCCTGCAAGTAGTTCTGTTTATCTGAAATGTGGAAACCTATATTTCGTATAACTTGATGTGGATCATATCCAAATTTCGCAGACGAAATTATATGTCCAAGTGACCATATTGCTGCATATAATAAAATCTTGACATGTACACCCCAATATTATAGGCTTACATACTTGTCAACAATATTAAACGCATCTACACGTTTATTGGCTCCCCCTAACTCTCACAAGGATAACAGTTTCATAAAACCAGCAATCATACAGTTCTCCATGTAAAACGCTCCTATCCCAGGGACACAAGCTTTGGAGATCAAGTACCCACGACGCGGGGTTAGCGCCATTCATGCGTTTCCACCTCTGGTCCCATAGCTCACACCAGTCTTGAACTAAAATTCTCATTTCTTTCATTTACAAACTAGGAGTCAACATGGTTCAGATTGAAGTTGGAGGGCACAGTGAATGTGAATCCAAGAAATGCCACACAAGATGATACTGTACTTATGATTCAAAGGTTTTGTTCCGGCAAAGATTGTTCGTAAACAAAGGATGTGAAACCTAACTACTTCCACCTAAGTACCTGCATGCCAAAGAAACAGACTTCTTAATTATAGTCAATTTTTCCCTATTGTATTTCTGGACTTTCTGCTTAATAATCTACAGGAATATCACAATGAAGTACTGTTATGAGTGACATCTTCTCATTAATGATGTAAAATTCTAAAACCATTAGTTTTTAATTTATAAATCTGCTCAATAGAAACGATACATCACTATTGAAAACAGTGCCATGATATTACCAATAGTGACAATTTCGAATTTAATTTCAGAATAAGAATTACTAGTATGATCACAATACATAACTATGAGATTTAAAAAATGTGACATAAGTTCATTTAAAGATATATCTCAACAATTTGATACATATATTAATAGTAAAATAACATAACAGTAAAATAATTTGTTACAAATTTATCATCATTTGTTTCACTTAAGTTTTTTTGTATTAATCTGAATTCAAACGCAATTCTAATTTACGCAATTTACGTTAATCTTCGTGAACAATACAGATGTGCAAATGAAAACGATTTTGAAACCAAACAACACATTTATAGATTGATGTAATGCATGAAAAGAAATTATTGACAACTCCCAATAGTGACATCTAACCCCAAAACCAATGCATGTTACTATTAGGAGGTATGTAATACCAAATATCCTCATCTTGCTGATCGAAATTAATTGGCAACGTCAATCTTCATTAAGTTTCATGATTGCTTTTAATTGCCACGAAAATGGAATCTCAATTGAAGCATCATGATCCCCAACAACGATTCTTGTTATATTCTTAGTACTAAGTAATATGAGAATTGAGATTGAATGTAATGCTGATGCAAAGTATAGTACTTAATCTACTTCAAATATAGAGAGATTGAAGTTATTAAATTCGATGATTGGAACTCAGGTTTCACATTTATTGAATAAAATGGGTATACATCTCAACTTCTTATAGATTAAGCTTCTACCAAGAATTTATATCATCTCTGATCAGTAGTAGATGTTTATTAACTTCGAGATAGTTATGAAACAGTGACACTGTTATTCTTTGTATTTCAGTAATAACATTTTGGAATATAGATTTTATTTATGCTATAAATAAAAAGTCAAAAGAATACCGGTTCCATAGCAAGAATCTAGATATCTCAAGGTTCGATTCGTTCCTCTTGACTTGCAACATCCATGTGTACGCTACGTACGGCAAGCGAGCAAGAGCGTCATCTCAATACTGTGATACACTAGTGGTTAGCGAATCGAACGGTGTTAGCAAGGTGTACAACCGGGATGGGACTAGGACTGTCAGAGGGTTCAAATATCTACATGCCTCAAGGACAGACTGAGGCACACTCCATGGCAGACGAGACTCTGTACAGTACTCAAATCAGGTTTTCCAAATCAAAAGATAGATACTGCACAATTTTATTGATTTCCTGAATGTTAGAGAGAACGAGAGCACAAGTGAGTTGTTCACAGGTTCTGAATGGATAGACCCTCCGATGTGAAATGGAACATAACCCGTAAGAGTTTATTCTACGTAAAGTACTCAGTAAATTGTGGCTATCTCCGCATGAATATCATATGGTCAACAGCTTTTCCTGCTCATTAAGATATCTATAACTCTATATACTACTGGGACTAATCGTACGATTGAAGGCATAAACCTCTCCAACAACAGCTGCTGATTGATATTTCTATTTTCACTAACCACTACTACTGGGACTATCGATTAATAAGTTTCATAATCAGTAGTAGGGTTCTTCATATCCTTACTGGTCTTAGAGCCGTATTGGTCTTGGAGAAAGGTTGTGATCGGCCTAGTAAATTGTACTCAAGAAATTGTAGCTATCTCCACTTGTATATCGTATGGGCAACAGCTGCTGCCCATATTACTGTAAACCACTACCTATAGCTATACACTACTAATGGGACTAATCGTCCAATTTCATGAAGTCATGACGCTTCTGGCAACATCTGCTGCTGATTGATATATCTATTATCGCTATCGTCCTATCGATACATTGGTTACATGATCAGTAGTAAGGTTCTTCAGGTCCGTATTGGTCTTGAAGAAAGGCTGTGATCGGCCCATACACATCGTCCGCTCGGTGCAGGCTCAGAGATAGATCGAAATGTGCGTAGTGAGGCAGGTACACTGACTGAGGCATAGTCTGTGTCAAGCTCATGAATTCCAGCGCACCTTCGGGAGGCGAGTATAAATCCTGCCCTCCGTAAACCACCAACATCGGAAGGTCGTTGGGAATATCTTTCGGCTCGTAAGTCGGAGGGTCGGTTTTGCCCTCGTATGCCAGCGCATTCAAGGCTGCGGATCCGTAGTCGAAGTGCTGAAAGGTATTCGTCGAAACTCCTGCATGCGAGCAGTTCACGCGATTATGTGAGAAGTCAGTCCATGCTTCGCTACAAAAGTATCAAATCCGTGTGATATCTCGATCTAGCCCTGCCTGCCTTACTTCCTCCTAATCTCATCAAGATCGATCGTCCAGTTTACCCTGATGGAGGTGCTCGAGATTCTTGTACGACGTCACTCCATCCCACCCGTTGGCGAGCGAGAGCACACTCGGACCCAGGCAACAATCGGGGCCTTTATTATGGACATGCAGGAAAGGCAAAGGAAACAGGGTCAGATTCCAATACGACCCCACAAACAAATCAGTCGACAGAAGGTTATCGATAAACCGAATCATCGCACGAGCCCATTTTTCTAATTCACTGGGAAAAATCAAATGAAGAAGGAATGTTCCATCACCCGAAATGGCGAACCGCAGACGAGAAGCGGGGCCGGTCAATGGAATGGCATCTAGATGAAGCTCCCTGGGGCACCAAGGAGCAGTATTAGCTCCCGATCTTTCCTAACTTCACCAAACTCATCGCATGGCTGCTGATGTGGACAGATTGAAGATACTCAATTTCACGTCAAGTCAAACATGCTGCTGTTGCCATACTTACCTCGGAAAGTTGAACGCACCGAGCCTGCGGTCGTGCCATTCGTCGTCGCTCGTGCCTAAGGCCTGTAATCACAATACAGCGGCTGTCATCGTCGATTCTCGATTGCAATCCTGTTGTCAGCACTATCAAGTTTGACGTAATGAAACAAAAATGGAGAAGGCGCTCGGAAGCCTCACCGAGGGAAATAGAATAGGATCCCAGGCTTGCAGGAAAACTGAAGTAGTCTTCCCCCGATAGACGGCGGGAGCTATCAGGGTCAGAGTTTTCATGCGAATGGCGACGCCCGCGTTCGTGGCTGCGGCTGCCCCGACTGCAGCGCTCTGCACACATCCATCCAACCAGTCACGGCAAATAAGCTTGAGCTCAAAGCCCGAATGTGGAACTTACCTGTAGGGAGGGAGGAAATCACGTAATGAATACATTAACGCACCAGAGAGACGCCGACGTAATGCACTCTGGAGCCAGTCTCGTCGCTGATGTATGTCAGCAGCTTTGGAACGTCGTGCTCTACATGCTGATCCCATGTCCAGTTCCAGTACGCCTGCATGTTCGTATCCTTCCGGTCAGTCATCAGCAAGAGCCAGAAAATACTTGCAAAAACGCCACACAAATGCTTCGAACAGTCAATTTCCAAGCGAAAATCAGCAGACCGGGAGTATCGTGTTGCACGTACAGCATCGTTGGGAGTAAGCTTCCGATGCTCGTGGCTCCAGAGCGTCGCCCGCTCGTGACCGATCCACACATCGAAGCCCTGGTCCACGAGCCTGAGCGGGAGCAGAGTGTCGTTCTCGGTGGCCACGGGCGTGAACCAGCTGCCCCCATTGAAAAGCTCGTGGTGCATGAGCAGAACCGGATCCCGGTCGATGAGTTCTGCATTTCGGGTTCGAGTCCAAGGTTGCTCTCGGCCATTGCTGCTAGTAAGTCCCCTCCTTGCAATGTTCGGCGAGGACAAGCCTGGTGGACATTCAGCACTGGAACTGGAAGTAGATCCTACTGACCCATTCGGTGAAGAGCTCGTTGACGATGGTGGCGAGCCTCCGAATCCGGATCCACCAAGTGGTGGGGAGAGAGCAGATGTTGATGGTCCTGACGATCCCTCTCCGTAATTCCTTGCACCTGGTGGAGAGTTCGATTCTGAAGGAGTGGGAGGAGAGTAGAAAGGCGGCGGTGTGGATCCTCCTCCATATGGCTCCGTACCAGGAGGACTCGGTGCTCCATATCCGCCAGAGGCAGGAGGAGGGTTGAAGGACCTGGGAGATGGAGATCCTCCTCCTATTGCGCCGGCACTTGGTGGTGAGTTCCTAGAACCGGCGGGACTGGGTGCCCCATATCCAGTGGCTGCCTGGGGAGAGTAAGACGATGGAGCTGAGTTCGATCCTCCATATGTGCTTGCGCCTGTAGGAGCTCCGTATCCACCAGGTGGAGAGTAGAAGGACGACGGCGGAGATGGTCCTCCATATGCGCCTTCACTTGGAGGCGAGGAGGAGGACGGAAGACTGGAACCTCCATAACCACCAGGTGGAGAGTAGGAGGACGACGGCGGAGATGGTCCTTCATATGCTCCTTCACCTGTAGGCGAGAAGGAGGAAGGAGGAGGACTTGGAGATGGTGGACTTTCGGACCTGCTGCTAGGACTTGTGTACGAGGGTACAGCCTCAGGAGCTGGCCGTGGTTTCTTGAACCCAGGGAAGGGCCCCATGTGCTTGTGCTTATGTCGGAGCTCCGGCTCCAGCCATTCCCACACAGACTTGTCCAGGCTGCTCCGAAGTGTAACCCGATGCAGACGAAGCATGTAACCATCCTCCGAATATACCTGCCAGTGTACAGAAATCACACAAAGACCGACCATGTTCAGGTATCTTTTGGTTGCACAATCTGAATGAAGCCATGTCTTCTTAAAACATGCCAAAACAAAACGGAAAGTTGCAATTTATTTGTCACTACTCTGCTTTAGAACACTAATAAGTCGAGCCGACAGAGTATCTATTAGTAATTAAGACCACTTACCTCATGCTCTTCGCAATTGTATCCTCGAGGAAGTACATGAATCTCGCAGAAAGTCAACGACGCATGCGCATCCATCTCCAGCATATCGACGCATTGGCTCACAACAGCCAGAGTAGCAATTAGAGTAGCTAGTGACAGCCATGATGATAAGGGCCGATTGCTCGACCCCATTGTTCTCAGTTGGCTGACGATGCACGGACTGTCGTACACTGGATGTTGCTGATATTGACAAACAACTGATTTGCAAAAAGCCGACAATAAAGGTTTGCTGATAAAACTGAGCTTTAGACAACGATAGAACTTGCAAATGTATGCTGTATCTTCGAAAAGATACTGATTTATCACCACCCAACCTCTTTATGGCTATCACCGAGGCTTCAGACCAACGTCTCCTTCTCTCAACCGCAAAATCAACTGAATTTGAAATTTGTCTTCAAGAGGAATCGTCAGATATCCTCTTTGAACCGTTTCCATGGAGTCCAGATCTGGCCCAATAAGTAAACGTTGCGGTTTGACAGATACTAGCCGTAAAGAAATGTCTCTTCATCCTCCATGGTGAGTATGAGATGAATTGGTCCAAAATACGGCTGCATTGGACTTACTGATCGTTCTGAAACATAGATTACATTTCAAATATTTTGAACTAATGAAAGCTTGAAATCGGTGGTTGTTCTTCCTGAGTGAATTTATCTGCGGGTTACTCCTCGATCCAAACTCGGTAAGCGGACGAGGTCCTTGTGTGAATCCAGCCAGAGTATAAATTGGCAGACAAATCCAAGTCAAAGGATAAATAACACATATTTGAAATACGCATCTTACGTTTTTCACCGTTCTTGCCATGCCGTTGCACAAAAGATGAGTCGCGGATTGATATATTGACCCGAGGCATTGCCATGACATGCTTCTGCTCGGCTACAAATTCCCAGCTCAAGCTAGCGGCTATATACTTGCAACAACGACAAGTTGCGTGCAGTGCCCGTTGCAAGTTGATGAGTTTCCTTCGTAACAGTTATTTGTTGCGAAACCGATTCCCCATTTCTCTATCTACCGCTATGACTCAGTTGGTCACCTGCAAAGGCGAACACAAACCTGTCAACGCGCATCACAATATCCGAATATTTCATTCGATTTGAAACCCGCCACCATGGAATTGGAGTTTAGAACCTCGTTCGAGACTATCATTAATTGCAAGCATATATCGGGAACGGAATCCTGCCGTTGTGGTCTTGTTGCGTAGCCTGACTACAGGTGCCCCGCCCAACGACGATATCACGGTGCCTTGGAAAGTTGAATCAACTCTGGCCGAGAGATTTTCACTGGAGGGCAATCCAGGACTTCGAGCGAGCAGGGATGCCGAAGGAAACTGTGCTGCGAGTCTGCAGATACTGTAAGTTCTGTCAACTGCAATGCACGGTTGTTTCAAAGTTGATGAACAGGAGAGAGGACCTCACTCGTGGAGTCTGTCTGTCTGTCTGCTGACAAGCCCAAGAATTACCGCCCTGCGAACGATTGAGTTCCTGCCGGTTTTCCAATGGCGAACAGATACATTATCAGACGGAACTGAAGGGTCGGGTCTTACGGTACCAGTAGCGGAGAATAACCACCCACGCAATTGTGATGTTTCCATCTGCTAGATAAAGAAGTGACAGAAGCGAGTGGGACACCGCTACAAAACTAGCTCGATGTGCGATATCTCACACAGGGCCAGAAGAGCCGAGTATCAGTTACCGCAGTGAAAGAGCGGGAGAGTTCAAAATGCCGCACGATTCTCGCTGAATCTGAATATTGACCACCTTGATGAATTATCCCTCGTGAGCGAGAACACTGTGGACGGACTGGTTCAGATTTGCTCTGCACGTCTGGGGTTTCAGCAGTTTCTTTACTGAGAGTTTGGGTCGTTTTCTTGTGTGCAGGACGCGGCTCGGATGAAGGGTTGAAGCTTCTGCTAATCAGTGGTCTAAAGACCATGAACCAGAAGCTTCAGGATGTTCTCGACCCTAAGTTTGAAAACGTCGAAGTAATCTATGCAGCCGTCATGAGGAGGCAGGCAGGAATCATCAAGGCATTGACGATTGAGTCTGACGAACTCTTTCGACAATGTGACCCAGACACGGAGAACTTGTGCTTGTACGGGCTACCGGATGGAGGATGGAAAGTTGCACTTCCAGCACAAGATGTTCCTACAGATTTTCCAGAACCTGCCGTAGGGATAAATTTTTCCAGGGACGGAATGTCACGCAAAGATTGGTTGACTCTAATTGCCCTACACAGTGATGCTTGGCTCCTCGCGATAGCGTCCTTTTACGGCGCTGAGCTCACCCGAAACGAAAGGAAACGGCTTCTCGTCATGCTTTGCGACTCACCCACGTCCTACGATATAGTCACTGGAAAGAACGTCGATCGAGAGACCGTCGTGGAAGGCAACTTCGACGATTTTCTTGACTACGACAGAGTTCATCACATCAAGGCCATCGACGCTTGCAGTACCATGAGCACGCGCGGGTATAAGGACGAAATTCGAGTCAAGCAAGTGATCACGGAAGAGGATGAGAGAGGCAAAATGATCTCGAATGATACGTTCTTCGCGCCAAAAGTGGTGAAACAAGCGTCTTTGACCAACCCCGCAACTCCAGACAAACAATGGGAGCGAGTGCTGCCGCAATTCCTCGATCTGTCGACAATTTTAGAACTCAATTCGCGGAGCCAGCAAAAGTAGTTTCTGAAGCTCCCTGTGTGCCTGAGATGGCTCAGTCCATTCACATGAACGCAACTGCTGGAATCGATGATTTGTCAGCGCCCCAAGCTACCAGCCCGGCAGATCCCGAGGTGCCCGAATTGAACCTTTATAACCTCCTGAAATTCCGCGCATGAGATATCTCTAGAACTAAAGTTTGGAGTCGTCTGGATCCTTGCAAATGAGTCACAAGTTAAATTTGCGCGAAGACTGTAACCTTGGAAGACCAGGTGGACTTCAATGCAAGTTGCTGGCTATTCATGCTTAACGATATTTGATGAAATGAGCGGATTTGGACGTGCTAATCAGTTGTGAGGAGCTTAAGCCAACCCATTTCACCGATCCTTCATTCTCTTTGTTTTGTATTTACGGTTTGCACACAGCTGTGGATGTTGCAAGTCAAGAGGAATAAATCCAGCCTTGAAGTATTAGATTCTTGCTATGGAACCAAGTATTCTTTTGACTTTTTAATATGCTGTAAATAAAATCTATATTTCAAAATGTTATAACTGACATACGGAGAATATGACAGTGTCACTTTCTGAAAACAAGTTACGTTATGACTAGTAGCTGTCAAACATGTCTTTTTGTACTCGATGGGGAGCCGTAGAGGAGCTGATCAATTATATGGCTGCATTGGAACTACTTATCGTGCTAAAACAATGACTACATTTACATGTTTAGAACTGAGAAGAAAATGAAGGAGATGATTGTACCTCCAAAGTTGAGTTGAGTTGCTGGTATCACCTAGTTCGAATGTTTGTAGGCCGACGAGGTCCTTCTCTGGATTCAGTCAAGAGTATACGGTGGCATGCACTCCTCGTCTTCCCACCCTGGTCACTAAGGGCTCCCCACTTTCGGGGAACGCGAGCTCTGCCCGCCCGGGCCGATGCCAGGGGGTCCCTGGCCCGGAGCCCAACCCCTGGTCCGCAGCCCGACCTCCCGCTTCGACCAGGGAGGGCCGTCCCGCTCCCGCTCGAACATCGGGCTCCCTCGCAGCCTCCCTTCCCCGCAGGGAACTTGTACTCTGTATTTTTTTTCTCCTCCTTTACAAAACTTTGAGCATCTTTGGGGACTCACCTCTTCTTCTCCCAACAAAAATTAAGTCTTTTTTTTCCTAAAGCCTTCTTTTCTTCTTACTTCTCTTCAAGTTCTACATTTAAGTAAGTCTATTCATGCATTATATCATCATAAGGGAACTTATAATGAAGGATTAAACAAACGCAAAAGTACAAAGTGGTAACAATATCAGTGAAAAAGCTCAAATCATAAATTTTATTTCAAAAAAATCTCATGGTCACAATTTTTGCAATTTTGTTTTTAAAAGTGGAAGAATCCAAAATAGTTCACAGTTTTGTGAACAGAGTCAAAATTGGCTTTAGTTAGAGATTCTACCCTCACGGGATTAATTCGAGCATGCCTTGTCCCGAGATTCCAAAGCTTTTCTCCCAGGACAGAGAGAGGCCCCAGAGAGAGGCCCCAGAGAGTTCTCCAATGGAGTTGGAGTTCTCCTTGAACTGGATTGAATGGCTCGTAACGTCCGGGGCAACCTGAGAACATTCACTAGACATTACACTGGTGCAGCGACCCTCGCCACTAAGGGCTCCCCGGGAGCGGGGCGGCCCTCCCTGGTAGAAGCGGGAGGTCGGGCTGCGGGCCAGGGACGCTCGTCACTAAGGGCTCCCCACTTTCGGGGGAACGCGAGCTCTGCCCGCCCGGGCCCGATGCCAGGCGGTCCACACCAGCTCTATCTCCACCCTTTAGCTTTGACATTTTGCGTTAACAGTAACGGTGTTCAATACACTACAGTAAGGATTATTCTCCACCAAGGTCAGCATACAGGAAATTAGATTATACTTCCAAAGTGAAGTCAGCTGCAGTGCATTCAGCTGCTGGTATCTCCTGGTTCGAATATTGGTAGCCGAAGAGCTCCTTCTCTGGATTCAGTCAGAGTATACGTTGGCATGCACTCCTCGTCTTCCCAGAGAATAAGTTTATCGGGAAGAATGATAGAGAAAGTTGGCTACACTCAGCGACGTCTAACTCATCGAGCTGATATATACATCACCTCTTTCCACTTCCCCCCACCTTCATCTGGGAATCCAGCACAATTGCAGCCGCAATGCTCACCCTGGCGAGTCAAATTTTTCCTTCCCTCACCGCGACTGCTTGAAGAGCTTTCGATAATCGGAGGTTCTATTAAAGGGCAAAGTGGCACTTATGGGGACGCCCAGAGATGCCACTGTGCACGACGCATGGTGGCATCTCTGTAGATTCCTGTAGATTATCCAACCCATCGGGTGCAGCTGTCGTAACCATTTTGTTCTTAGTTTTATTCTCTCAACCATCGCCCCCAGTTCTCATGGAGCTGATGGAGTCCTTGATCACGATGACCTTGTCTCACTGGAAAGCTGACTTCGTGACGATGTGGAAAGTCGAGGTTTATCGTCTGTGAACGATGGACTGGAGCAGCATAGAGAGAAATAGGAGCTCACCTTGCGCGGCCAAATTACAAAAAAGAAATGCACAGACCAATGCTTATTTGCTTTTCATTTGAAACGAAGTTTTCAAATATGCACAGAGTCTTCTGGGCCAGCAATGTTACGATGATGTTACACAAGTTGCCGAAGTCGAGCCGAGTGGATGCATTGAATTTACCACGCTCTAGGTGCACATCCTCCAGAAATTCTAAGGAGCTTGATACACGTATCACAAGAAACGAACAGTGAGGTTCTAAACTCCAATTTCATGGTGGCGAGTTTGAAATCGAATGAAATATTCAGATATTGTGATGCGCGTTGACACGTTTGTGTTCGCATTTGCAAGGTGACCATCCGAGTCATAGCGGTAGATAGAGAAATGGGACATCGGTTTCGCAACAAATAATTTTTACGAAGGAAACTCATTAACTTGCAACGGGCACTGCATGCAACTTGTCGTTGTTGCAAGTATATTCCCGCTAGCTCGAGCTGAGAATTTGTAGCCGAGCAGAAGAATGTCATGCCAATGTCTCGAGTCAATCCGATATTTAAGCATTGTCACGACATATCTGTTGTGCAACGGCATGGCGAGAACGGTGAGAAACGCAAGTGGCGTAATTCGAATATGCGTTATTTATCTTTTGACTCGGATTTGTCAGCAGGACAAGGAGTGCCTGCCAATGTATACTCTAGCTGAATTCACACAAGGACCTCGTCCATTTACCTATTTTGGATCCAGGAGATACCAGCAGCTGAATTCACTCCGAAGAAACAACCACCTACTTCAAGTTTTCATTGGTTCAAAACATTTGAAATCTAATCAATTTTTTTGAACGATTGGTAATTTCAATGCAGGCGTATTTTGGACCGATCCATCTCAGGCTCGCATGGGAGGATGAAGAGACATTTGTTTACGGCTAGTAGCTGTCAAACCGCAACGTGTACTTCTTACGCCAGATCTGGACTCCATGAAAACGGTTGAGAGGATATCTGACGATTCTTGTTAAGGACAAATTTCAAAAGCAGTTGATTTTGCGGTTGAGAGAAGGTTACGTTGGTCTGAAGCCTCGGGTGACAGCTATAAAGAGGCAAGGTGGTGATCAATCAGTATCTTTTCAAGATACAGCATACATTTGCAATTTCTATCGTTGCCTAAAGCTCAATTTTATCAGCAAACCTGTATTATCGCATTTCTGTCAATCAGTTGTGTGTCAAAGTCATCAACACCAAGTGTACGACAGTTCGTGCATCGTCAGCCAACTGAGAACAATGGGGTCGAGCAATCGGCCCTTATTATCCTGGCTGTCACTAGCTACTCTAGTTTCTACTCTGGCTGTTGTGAGCCAATGCGTCGAGATGCTGGAGATGGATGCGCCTGCGTCGTTGACCTTCATCGAGGTTCATGTATTTCCTCGAGGATACAATTGCGAAGAGCATGAGGTTAGTGGTCTTAATTGCTAATAGATACTCTGTCGGCTCGACTCATCAGTGTTCTAAAGCAGAGTAGTGACAAATAAACTGCAACATTCGCTTTTGCTTTGGCATGTTTTAGGAAGACATGATATTGTGAAACCAGAAGATACCTGAACATGCTCGGTGTATGTGTGATTTGTGTACATTCGCAGGTATATTCCGATGATGGTTACATGCTTCGTCTGCATCGTGTTATACCTCGGGGCAACCTGGATAAGTCTGTGTGGGAATGGCTGGAGCCAGAGCTCCAACATAAGCACAAGCACAAGAGGCCCTTCCCTGGGTTCAAGAAACCACGGCCAGCTCCTGAGGCTGTACCCTCGTACACAAGTCCTAGCAGCAGGTCAGACAGTCCACCATCTCCAAGTCCTCCTCCTTCCTCCTCCTCGCCTCCAGGTGAAGGAGCATATGGAGGACCATCTCCGCCGTCGTCCTCCTACTCTCCACCTGGTGGATATGGAGGTTCCAGTCTTCCGTCCTCCTCCTCGCCTCCAAGTGAAGGCGCATATGGAGTACCATCTCCGCCGTCGTCCTTCTACTCTCCACCTGGTGGATACGGAGCTCCTACAGGCGCAAGCACATATGGAGGATCCAACTCAGCTCCATCGACTTACTCTCCCCCGGCAGCCGCTGGATATGGGGCACCCAGTCCCGCCGGTTCTAGGAACTCACCACCAAGTGCCGGCGCAATAGGAGGAGGATCTCTATCTCCCACGTCCTTCAACCCTCCTCCTGCCTCTGGCGGATATGGAGCACCGAGTCCTCCTGGTACGGAGCCATATGGAGGAGGATCCACACCGCCGCCTTTCTACTCTCCTCCCACTCCTTCAGAATCGAACTCTCCACCAGGTGCAGGGAATTACGGAGAGGGATCGTCAGGACCATCAACATCTGCTCTCTCCCCACCACTTGGTGGATCCGGATACGGAGGCTCGCCACCATCGTCAACGAGCTCTTCACCGAATGGGTCAGGAGGATCTACTTCCAGTTCCAGTGCTGAATGTCCACGTGGCTTGTCCTCGCCGAACATTGCAAGGAGGGGACTTACTAGCAGCAATGGCCGAGAGCAACCTCGGACTCGAACCCGAAATGCAGATCTCGTCGACCGGGACCCGGTTCTGCTCCTGCACCACGAGCTTCTCAACGGGGACAGCTGGTTCACGCCCGCGGCCACCGAGAACGACACTTTGCTCCCGCTCAGGTTCTTGGACCAGGGCTTCGATGTGTGGATCGGTCACGAGCTGGCGACGCTCTGGAGCCACGAGCATCGCTGGGAGTAAGCTTCCCAGCGATGCTGTACGTGCAACACGAGCCTCCCGTTTTTTTTGTGATTTTCGCTTGGAAATTGACGATTCAAAGCATTTGTGTGGCGTTTTTGCAAGTATTTCTAGCTCTTGCTAATGACTGACAGGAAGGATACGACCATGCAGGCGTACTGGAACTTGACTTGGGTTCAGCACGTAGAGCACGACGTTCCGAAGCTGCTGGCATACATCAGCGAAGAGACTGGATCCAGAGTGCATTACGTAGGCGTCTCTCTGGTGCGTGAATGTATTCATTACGTGATTTTCTTCCTCCCTACAGGTAAGATCCACTTTCGGGCTTCGAGCTCAAGCTTATTTGCCGTGACTGCTTGGATGCTTGGATGGATGTATGCAGAGCGCTGCAGTCGGGGCAGCCGCAGCAACGAACGCGGGCGTCGCCAGTCTCATGAAAACTCTGACTCTGATAGCTCCCGCTTTCTATCGGGGGAAGACTACTTCAGAGTTCCTGCAAGCCTGGGATCCTATTCTATTTCCCTCGGTGAGGTTTCCGACCGCCTTCTCCATTTCTGTTTCATTATATTAGACTTGATAGTGCTGACTACGGGATTGCAATCAACAATCGACGATGACTGCCGCTGTATTGTGATTACAGGCCTTAGGCACGAGCGACGACGAATGGCACGACAACAGGCTTGGTGCGTTCAACTTTCCGAGGTGAGTATGGCATCAGTAGCATGCCTGACTTGACGTGAAATCGAGTATCTTCCATCTGTCCACATCAGCAGCCATGAAAAGAATTTGGTGAAGTTAGGAAAGATCGGGAGCTAATACTAATCCGTGGTTCCCCAGGGAGTTTCATCTAGATGCCATTCCATTGACCGGCCCCGCTTCTCGTCTGCGGTTCGCCATCTCGGGTGACTGACCATCCCTTCTTCATTCGGTTTTTCCCAGTGATTTAGAAAAATGGGCACGTGGGATGATTCGGTTTCTCGATATTCTTCTGTCGATTGATTTGTTTGTGGAATCAGATTGGAATCTGAACTGGTTTCTCGTTTCTATGCCTGCATGTACATAATAAAGGCCCCGATTTTTGCCTGGGTCTGAGTGTGCTCTCGCTCACCAGCGGATGGGATGGAGTTACGTCGTACAAGAATCTCGAGCACCTCCATCAGGGTAAACTGGACTATCGATCTTGATGAGATTAGAAGGAAGTAACGCAGGCAGGCTAGATCAAGATATCACATGGATTTGATACTTTTGGAGCGAAGCATGGACTGAGGTCTCACATCATCGCGTGAACTGCTCGCATGCAGGAATCTCGACGAATACCTTTCAGCACTTCGACTACGGGTCCGCAGCCTTGAATGGGCTGGCATACGAGGGCAAAACCGACGCTCCGACTTACGAGCCTAATAATATTCCCAGCGACCTTCCGATGTTGGTGCTTTACGGAGGGCAGGATTTATACTCGCCTCCCAAAGGTGCGCTGGAATTCATGAGCTTGACAAAGACTATGCCCCAGTCAGTGTACTCACTACGCACATTTCGACCTATCTCTGAGCCTGCACCGAGCGTACGATGTGCATGGGCCGATCACAGCCTTTCTTCAAGACCAATCCGGACCTGAAGAACCTTACTACTGATAATGTAACCAATGTATCCATAGGACGATGGCGATAATAGATATATCAAGCGGCAGCTGTTGCCAGAAGCTTCATGCCTTCATGGAATTGGACGATTAGTCCATTAGTAGTGTATAGCTATAGGTAGTAGTAGTTAGTGAAAATAGAAATATCAAACAGCTGTTGTTGGAGAGCTTTATGCCTTCAATCGTAGGATTAGTCCCAGTAGTCTATAGAGGTATAGATATCTCGATAAGCGTGTAATAAGCGTGACCCAGAGCAGTTGTGTAGATAATTGTAAATTTCTTGTAGGTTCAGAAAAATCTGATAAGCTTTTTGGGAAATTACTAACTATGATATCAACTGTATACAGAGGATACCAGTACTTGAGGTTATCAACTGCTGGTATGATTTTTCTTCTACCCCAGCTGTCAAGTATGTGAATGCATGCACAGTTTGGAGGTCTTTAGACCACAAACATGAAATCGTTATCGAATTTTGATCGTGCTAAGAACACTTTTGATTGCTTATCGCTGGGTAGAGAAGAAGACAGAAACAGCAAGATCTGGTTATTTGCCATGTCCTGTGGTTAATTTCTTGTTACCGCCAACACATGTTTTGTCTGGATTTGCTCGTTTTCCCTGTTCCAATCAAGATTCCTGTGCAATTGCCAGCACCAACTTTTACAGAGACACGACCCTGTCTTAAGACGCGGATGTCCCACTTTCCATTTACTCAGCTGCGTGCATTTGTCCACAGTCAAATCAGTGTGGATGGACCGCTGCAGTAAGAAGAGCAGAGGGTGTTGATGGCTGACTTCGTACAACATGACCACCCTCGCGTCTCAACGGAAGGGTTTTCATCATAGTTAGACTTGCAACGAGACAATATGAACACTCTACCCTCAAAAAGTCATCTTCATAGCTTAGCCAAACACTGATCTTCAGAAACATAACTGTGCAATTGACATGATGGCAAAAATTGTAGAAGAAATCTTACTTGTGAAAACTGCAAGGAAGAATTTGCAGAGTTGTATATTGCATGAGGGTCTAAACATATGCTTGTCAATTGCATAGTGGCATTCTAACCTCTTCTAAATTCTAACATGTCAAACTTCCACTGCGAAGGCCTTTATTCATGCACTTCTCGCACACCCATGCATGCCCACCTTTTTCTAAACTCACGGATTTCACCTGATACAACTTGAAGATTTCAGAATAGCGATTTAAAAGCTGAGGCGCAAGAATTTGCTGAATCCTCAACCATGCTTCTTGAAGCTCCTTGCTTTCCCCACCTATTAGAACTGCCATGCGATCTTCGCTGCTAATACCAACTAGATTAACAATATCTGATTCCAAATCTGCCCAGTCCGGAATCGCTTCGCCCAACCCAAAGAACTTAGTCAGTCCAGCCTTTGCACCATAATATATGATTTTGTATGAAATCTCGATAGTTTTTCGAATCCACTCCCACTTCTCCAAATCCAATCGTAACTTCAACCCTTCTTGATCTTTGACAGTGTGAAACCCAGTCACCGACTCACACATCAAGTGTAATCGAACAATTCTCCCAACATGCAGACCTGCACTCAACCTATATAAATGTCCCACATCGTCCGTAACGTAAGGTCGTTTAGGCGTTTTCCCTTGCTGAAACGTTTGCAAATAGCCAATGCACCTGTCTACCTTAGACATGAAGACGCTCAACTTTGACTGCACTTCTTGTTGCGCAGAGAGTATCTGTCCCATTGAGCTCTGCATTGATCTCAACCTCTCATCCAAACCATCAAGCTTTTGTACTATCTTTTCTCCTAGTTGCTCAATCTTGAACACAACAAGTTGGGTCGAAGTACTTTCCACACTTGTGCTGACCTGACTCAAGCACATGGATGTGAGTGATTTGAGATCTTTCAATTGTGAGAGATTCAAGTCGCTAACCATGTTTTCAGCTTCAGGATAACACTGAGCCAAATCATTGTCCATGCTAATTATAGCTTCCTGCAATGATTCCAATTGTTGAATTCGATTCTGGAAAATCTCATTCACAACTGCTTCCACATCGCTCTCCCACAACAAATCCCTTGCTAGTTCGGATATTCCGCCGGTGTCCATTCCAATCGGAGGCCAACACTGCTCATAGTTGAACAACTCTTCCTTCTCCATCAACTGCAACAACTCTTCCTTCTCCATCAATTGCGATCTTTCCAAGGGCATTTCCTCAAGTTTATCATTGATGCTACGAATGAAGTCCGATTTCAGCTTCTCGACCAGAATGGCTCGTCTGAGATGACTCTCAATCAACATCTCCACGCAAAATGTTTGAATTACACCGAGCACTAACGCCACCCCAGGACAGCCTTTCGGTGATGCGCAAAATGATATCAACTCCTGGACGATATGTTTCCTCACGTATGTAATAGCCGCCTCCCTTGACTTATGCCTCGAGCATAACATCAGAACATCTACGTATTTGGGGGACTTTTCACTTTGAACGTGCTCGATATATATCTGATGTCCGTCAAGGAAAAGTCGCAGGTAATGTCGAGAACAGGTCACATTCTCCTCGGAAACACCCATCTCATATATCAACTTGAGTCTCATGAACATCTGCAATCGTAGAAAACTTAATAAATATTGAATTGAACATTTGAATAATGTTACAATTTATGAAAAGAGGCATTCTATTCATCATACGCAAATTACAATCAGAACTTGACACATTCAATGTTTTCACTGTGTTTATGAAATCATGATTGAACCTCACCTGGAAGCGTGGAAAAAAAGCAGCAATCAATGACATTGTTCTTTCATCTTTGCATTGAATTCGTATGCCGACAAACTGTGGAGTGTCACATCTATTTTCCCAATACATCGACTCCGCGTGCGCCCCATCTTCACGATTCTGTTCCTCCTTGCTTGCATGCTCAGGGATGAAGGAAGGAATGAAATACTCAGAAGTATCTTCCAGCTTGAAACACAAATCTAAATTGATGAGGATGCTTTCAAGCATCTTTCTGTTCACATTTTGAAAGCGTGGTTGCTTTCCCAAAAACTTCTGTATCAGTCCAGCAAAGACAATCTCGCTCACAAATCCGTCCTTGCTTGCGTATGAACTCATTCGATAAGACGACTTTGACTCTTGAGCTTGGAAGTTTTGACCCAGAGCTATCAGCTCACCCAAGAAGGTATTGGTAAGCCAGTTGGGATCGACAATGATGTAATCAAGGTTGGGGATGTAAATGATGGATCCAACATCATTCAAATAGGATATAATAGATTTCATTATCTTGAAATGATTATCATAGTGAGCAGAAGATGATGGAACAAAGCTTGTCAATTGTGGAGCACAGAAATCATAAAACTTTTGAGATGACCACAAAGGAAAACTTTTATTCTTCTTGGTGTTGGTAACTAAGAGAGAGGTGAGTTGTAAACACAATTCAGGAACCTGTGGGGATTTTTCTCTCAACAACTTGTGGAAATTGTCAAAAATGTGTCTGTTAAGAGAGCTAACTTCCTTCTTCTTCCGTGCATCCACATGAAAACACTCTTGAATATGACGAAGATCCACAAAGTTTGCGAATCTTTTAGTCAATTCTTCCACTATGGGCTGAGCCCAACTCAAAGAGCTGGATATGGCTTTATCCTTGTGAGAAATCACAACAATAACTTGGGGAAGATCATGTCCCGTGACCTTAGTGCTAGATGTTATAAAACTCAACCACTCCTCCAACTCACATCTGAAACAAGATTCTGGTTTGATTGAAGATGTTTTCTTTCCTTTCTTACAAAAGGGGCTATACACAAAAACAAAAACACAGAAATTGTTGGTTTGAGGGAAGAGTAAAGTTTGAAGGGTACGGAAAATCCATTGTCCTGCAAGATCCCAAACTGAGATCTGTATTTTGTCATTGTTTTGCAAAAACTCCACCTCAATCCCTTTGGTCCTCCGCAATGCCTCCCATTTATTGAATGGACTGCTTCTCTGTAGCCAGCTTTGCTGTATCCTCATCAAGGTTTTACGCAATTGAGTTTTTCCTGGACATCAAATCACAAAATACAGAACTTGTGATGAACGATATCTTCACAAATGCTTTGAATTGATATTCTTGAAATACAATATGACATGATATTGATTCAATATGTGAAGATAAATTTGATTGAAAAAAGTAAAAATCACCAAAATAATCTAAGTTACATAATCAATGATTTACATATTTGATTTTTTTTCTTTCCGTTACTATTTGTATACACGCATCATTATATATGAATCAAAATAGCATTTGTAGTGTCAATCTTAGTTTTAGAAAAGTTAAACCAAAGATCGCTTGTTGGCGTACATTCAGGAAAAAACTGAGAATTTACAGCGCATCTTACCTGCTCGAGGAGAGCCGCATAAGAAGAGTCGGCCAGCTTTTGCATCTCCGAATGTTAAGTTGGCTTCTCGGAACACAGACATGTAGCCTGCCCGCTCCTTGTTCTGCTGCAGGGCCTCTTGAATCTGCGCCGCCTTTCCGTCCCGTGCCCACGATGTTCGTGAGACGTCGATTTCCTGGAGAGCCAAGTTCACCTGCAGGACTCCCATCACGTCCCTGAACGCCTCCTCGTCGAGTTCGGAGTCAGACAAATCCAAGTGAGTGAGGTGGTTCCCTCGCATGCACCGAAGCAGCTCCTCCCATTCTCCCTTTGAAAGAACTTGGCTTCGAACAAATAATTCCAGTCTCTTCTGGACTGAAGTTTCTCCAGTTTTCCCATTCATGGGGAGGATACTGAAAATGATACTTTTTTTAGATCCCTTCCATATAATCAGAGATTTTAAAGATTTGATTTCCCCGCGCAGTACACTACCTAATAGGTGTAATGATAACATCACTTCATCTTCCACGCGAGTGAAGAGGTCAAGCTCCAGTGTGGGGTCATTGACATCGGAGCTAGCAGAACACGCAAGAGCTTCTATTGGCTTCCATTCCGCATGTTCGAACCAAAACCTTGCAAGTATAGTTGTCGCTATAGCATTGTCACGTATGACTTCCCCGAGCTGGTGCCATTCCTCAGGACTCATATGGGAGCGGGCCAACTCCACTTTCTTCAATGATGGGTTGGAAATAAGAATTTCCCTTAAACAGTCTCCGAGTCCATCAATGACCTCTAGCCGAAGACGTTCAATGGATCGGTTGCGATCGTCTCCGGCCAATGCTTTCAGCAACAAGGGCCCTGCCCACTTCCCCGAGCGTGCTAAATTCAATACCTTCAACGACGAGCTCTGGATCAACGCCTGGGACAGGATTCCGACGGTCCCGTCCTCCATGTCCTTCTCAGAGAAGATTAAACTCAACGTTTCTAATAGAGGAGTACTCTTGATCATTTCAGCCACATGCTTCACCGCACTCGCGTCCTCCCACGCGTATCTTAAATATAAAGACTGGATTTTAGACTCGGAATATCCTCGAAGTCCTGAGGCGAGATTCAACCAGCATCTAGCACTCAATCCGCAATTCCACAGTTCTAATTTTGTTACGCTAGAGGAATTCAGAATTCTCCCCAGCTGTAAACACCAGTTCTCCACTTCCGCATCTGATCTCCATTCCAACTTCGTAGTGGCTACTCCAACTCTTATCGACTGTAGATCGGTGCTAGAACTGAAACCTCTGAAAACTTGCTACCACTCGCTTGCCGTCAACCTCGATATATCTCCCCAAATAATATCTTCCACGTCCAGAATCTCAAAGGTGTTGCAGTTGCCGATTGCCTCCAGCACTCGAAGGCGCACTTGGCTTCGCCACCCTGTGATTGTCGAAAGTGATGCACGCTTCGGAAAGAACTCCCGAAATTCTGGCCCGCTTAAATCGGGTAGCTGCGTTAAAGGCTCGCCTTGTCCTTCCAGACGCTGGACAAGGTCCTGGATGGCGGAGGGAAGCTCCGGTTCCTCGTGTGCGGAGTCCATTCCACAAGTCGTGTCGCAAGTTCAGCAGCGTGACTGACGATGGACGCACCTGCCCCTTCCTTTCTCTCCTGCTATCTCCTTCAACGCGGAGAGGAGGCCCTCTCTTCAATCCGAAAGCCCGGCTCTCCCGAAGAAAACTGATCTTCCCTTCGTAGTGTCACAATTCGCTGGGCATGAATTATTTTGCACTGCGCACAAGTAGCAACAGAAATATCACTCCGAGATCTGCCGATACGCGGATCATGAGCAATCAACACGAACTCAGGGAGATTGTGCAAAGCGGAAGCAGGAGGATGCTGGAGCTCGGGACAAGCGATGGGAATCAAAATTGACACAGAGGACCAGGATTCTAGTACCAAGCTAAATTGTAGACCCTGTGGCAAAAAAGACTTCACGTCTATCAGGGTTCGATGTGCACTAGTGATCGAAGTGAGTGGACAAGATTATAGCTCTGCAAAAGTACCTGAAATCAAGTTCTCAGCAAAGATGGCGCGATGTGAAAGCAAAATGTCATAGAATGCATGATATTGCAGATTTCTCAGATGTGACGAACTCTGGGTTGTGGAAAAACTGAATGTACAGTTGTACTAAGAGACTGCGAATCTAGCTGCATCAAGACCAACGGGAAGACAGACACTAGAATGGCCAGCGCGGGGTAAAAGCATGCATCCTCTTCAATCAGATCTTCTCATTGAATTGTGTGAGCGATCAAGGCAATGACAACATTTGGACACAAAAATCGTGTTCTTTCATACTCTGTGATTGAAACATGGTGTTAGAAGGTCAGAGTAGATCTTGACTTTGTTGTGCAAGCGGAGAGGAAACGTGGGTGAATGCGTCATTGTGATGATATACTCTATGACGTCACGATGACAACTTCCATTACAACTTTCTTCTTTATTAATTCATTTGTTCTGGAATGTTCATCAGTTCGAGCAAGTGGACGTATTCTGACAGCTGAGTGGCACATGCGTAGTCAGCTGTAATAAGCACGTTACGTTTTTTCTTACTTTTGACCCAGAGCAGTTGTGTAGATAATTGTAAATAACTTGTAATATCAGGAAAAACTGACAAGCTTTTTGGGATTTTACTAACTATGGTATCGAAGAACCGTGTACAGAGGATACCAGTACTCGAGGTTATCAACTGCTGGTACGATTGTTCTTCTACCCCAGCTGTGTCAAGTATGTGAATGCATGCACAGTTTGGAAGTCTTTTTTTTTTGGTGAGTTTGCAAAGCCAAAATGAATGACCGTGAATACAGAGATCGCATGATGAATTCGTGCTGCTAAGATGACAGCCTGGTCACTTTAAGCATGGCCTTCACGATCTCAACGTATCCCTCCTGCAATGGATCCAATTTTGTAATTGTAAAACAATGCAAATATGAATAAGCTATATATGATGGTTTTGTGAATGAATGATATGTTGCCAAATATTGCTTTTTTAGATAGTTAATCATACATTTCAATATTTTCGTGCATTTAAATTATATTATTATTATGAAAATAATTTTTTATTAATTTAAATAAAAAAGTAAAATATAAATTTTCAAATAAATAAAAGAGAATTTCTATTTTTGACTTGTTTTATACTTGAAGATTTTGGATTTAGGGATGTTAGTGAGAATGAGAGCATGTTTCAGTATAAATCCGAATAGTATATTTCTGATTGCATTGCAGATAGTGTTTTTTAAAAGACAAAAGATTCTTTCAAATTCAAATTATTGACTCAGAAATTTGAAGTTGCCTAGTGTGAAGGTTTTTTTTTGTAAAAACACATCAATAAATATGCTTGCAATTATTATATCATTTATATATTCAAATTTTGTATAATAGCTTAAATTTCATCATATACATTTTGTTCACTAAACGTTTTGTGCTTAAGTATTTTGATCTATAATTGATTAAAATGTTTCAAAGAAAATTGAAAAATTTGAACAATGCTTGAAAAGAAATCTACCCATGTTTTAAGTTTTATTTTATATTTGAATCCTATATTTAGTGTTGGATTAGGATAATATCTATGGACATCAAAAATTAGTTTCCAATCAAAATTTTATATGAAAAATTAATTCTTTTTTAAAAAAATATTTCTGGATGTAAAGTAAATGGTAATTAATATTTTATTCGAAATTCATTTCCAAAGAAAAATTATGATGTTTTAGAACTCAAATGATACAAACATTAAAAGTGAAATTGATATTTTTTTTTTAATTATTTGTTGTTTCTAAACATTGAGAGCAATCTTTCAAGAAACTTTTCAGATGATTTAAATTTAATATAAAGTCATTATTGTTACTAGTGATGATGGTTTATTGTAATAACCCACCAAAGGCTAAAACTGCAGTATGGTGGTAAAAAGATCGAACCCACAGGGACAGAGGCAACACACAGAGTAAAAGTGTCACGTTTAACAGACTTTTGTAGAGTTTGAATTCTAGGCGATTGTCACTCCCAGAAATACTGCAGTGCTCGACTCGGAGGCTCGACTCGGAGGAGGATCTCGACTCGGAGGATGCACGGTACAGCGTGGTCACTCAACACACACACACACACACACACACACCTGAAACTGGCAAAAGCACAACTCGGAGGTCGGTCAGGATCTCCGCTTCGGATTTCAGGAGGAAAGTGTCTCAAAAGTTCACTCAGAGGTTCTGCAAGTAGTGACTCCCACTCCGGCTTTTACTGCCCTTCCGCCAGGAACTAGCATAGGGTACCCGGACTGGACTTCCCACTTCGGAACGAAGCCTCTTCATACGCCGTGGACGTCACCCTCGACTCTCACACCAAACGCAGGGAGTGCAGACCCGACTGAGAACTTAACTGAGACACGATCCAGTAACACACACACAACCTGAATTGCAAACCAAGGCTTACACGAAGTAATAAAACTTCACTTTGGCATTAAGGGGAAACTTCCCGTAGGAGTACAATCAGGACATGTCACTCGAAGGAGTAAGGGGGAACTGTTCAAGTCTCTAACTCGCAGCCGGCTCTGAGCATCAGAAATCACCCGCAGGTGCAGATCCGCACTACTCAAGTCTCTAACCGGGTACTAGCTCTGAACATTCAGCCGAAGGCCTTCAACTACAACATACGGTAACTTCGCTATGCTGCAGCTTCTCTACGTGGTGCCAGGACCAAAATGCACAAACACGCCAAGAAAGTGAGTTCCTGATCTGCACTTCCGAAACTGGAAGAGTCCCAAGGCAAAACGCCTTGAACTACTTTATACCCTCAAAGGTCCTAACTAACACTACGCTATGCTATCTACTCCTCGCAACATCTGCGCGAAACCAAACTATACTACTGCACTCGGCGGATCCGGTGCTGCGCCTCCTGCGCGCCGGACTGCTCCGCTCGCTGTCTCTACCTTGCCAGTCTTCCGACCGGCTGCGCAACCCCAGCCGTCGGAGGGCTGTAGTGACTTCCGACTCTAAGTGCGCCATAGTGTCGCGTGCACCCGACAAGAAGGTTTCTAATTTCCTCGCTACTCGCCGCCGACTCCAACTGTCACCCTCCGTCAATGCCGCCGCCCGAAGCTCGAACTCCCTGAGTGTGATCCTCTCTTGAGCTGCCACCTCCCAATGGGCGTATCCTTTTAGACAGTGAGTCACCCGCGTCGCCAACTCTTCTCGCGCCCGGCAGCTGCCTTCCACCTCTGCTAGCTGCATTTCCGCTTCCGCACGCTGCGCCCTCAAATCCGAGCACTCGGATTGCAAGTTGCGCAACAACTCCTCATCCTCCTTGCGGGCTCTTTGACTTTCTTCTAAGGCGCGTGTCTGGCGCGCAAGCTCTGCTGCTAGGATGCGGTTTTGTCTCCGCTCTTCCTGCAATTCCGACTCGATCTTTATCCGCATTAGCTCGGCCTCCGCCTGGCTTTTCGTCGCCGCATCCTCCCTCTGCTGCTGCAAGGCTTGGTATAGCTTCTATGTGACCGCCAGGTGTTGTCGGAGGGCGGTGTTTCTATCCAGATATACTTGGCACCTAGAGGCCCAAGTGGCCACCTTGCTCCTCGTCCTTCGCTTGATAGTCTCCACATAAGACTGCGGTTTTCCAGTACCCGAGTACTTGGATGTCTTGCGATCCAGATATCGCAGGAGTGGGACTATCTGCTCGCACAACACCCCTGTTGGCGTTTTCTGCACAGAATCCGCTTCCTGCTCTTCCGAGCTCGTCTCATCCTCCGTTTCGAGGATTTCAGTCGCCACCGAATCCCTTGGCGACTCCCTGGAACTGTGGCGCGCAGCAGCTTCCGCTGCGACTGCCGCTCCACTGCCTGCTAAAATATCCAGGGCAGTGGGGGATCCCACTGCTTGAGCCCCTGTTCCGGCTCGATCTTCGGTTTCTGAAGGGGTCGACGCCGCAGTGACTTCTGTCACCCTTGCACCGCCCGTTTCTGCTGCCTGCCCTTCCTGCGCAATCTGCGCGGAAGGTGTCTTCGCTGAAGGTGCGTCCGCCGAAGGCGTCCGCACACTGGTCGCCGGCCCTGTCCGTCTCGCAGTCGGCGAAACCGGCCGACTCTCTGTTGACCGACTCGCAGTCGGCCGACTAGCAGTTGTCCGACTGGGAGTCGGATACACCCTGCGCGTCTTCACTCCACTTGGCCTGCGTGCTGGTGGCGTTTTCCCAGAAGTGCCTTCCGCCGAAGACGACCCTCTGAGGGTTGTTGGCTCGTCAGCCAAACTCTCTTCTGCTTCTGGCCTGCTGTCCGGTTCAACGCGCCGCTCGGTTGACCTTCCTTCCGCTTGTCGACCTTCAGTCGCCCGACTCGTAGTCGGCCGACTGTCAGTCCGTCCATCTCCTTCCGAAGGCATTGGTGCCTTCTGCGCAGAGGTATTTGTCGACTTCCCTAGAATCTGCGCGATTATCTCATCCTGCGTGGGATTCCGCCGGACCGGAGTACGCCTGGTCTCCTCAGTACTAGTTGGCATTTTGCGTGCCCTCTGTTTTGGTCGACTGTGAGGCTCGTGGGTGGGCCGACCACGAGTCGGCGCAGCTGGCACTTCCGGCTGCCTGTCCTCAGGTCTCTCATCTCACTTCCGCTTTCGCGGAATGCGCTCACTTCGACGTTCTTCTGCTGCTCTTGCTGGGGCCGGAGCCGGAGGCGGACTGGCAGGTTCCTCGTCCGGATCCGTGTCTACTTCGGCCTCCCGTGAGTATCTACCTGGATAGCTCCGTGTCAGCAGCGGAAACCGTGTCCGCTCTGAATTTGTCAAACATCCCATCGCCCGATAAAACACAATCAGGTAAGGCGAAAGATGATTGAGGGTTCCTCCTCTCTCTTCTTGCGCATGTTGGCGCGTCACCTTCCACAGGAGCCGTGCCCAATGCACTGGAGCTCCTGACAACACTAGCTCCACAAATCCTACCTGCCAACCATGCATGTAAGCGGTCTTGGTCGGCTGCAATATCTGCAGCAATGCAGTCGCGACATTTCTCCGCAATCGATCTTTGTAATCCCGTGTCCGGAAACCGTTCTTGGGATGCCTGGCAACTTTGAAGAGCTCATTGTAGGAGATTTCTTCCTCCTGGGACACCTTCACGCTATCGGCCTCGAAGAGGAGATACCCTTCCTCGCCGGCACACCTGCCCAACACCTGCGCCCAGTCACAAATGTCCCACCTTTCTGGATGTGGACGGAATCCGCGTGAGGGCTTGTGTCTCTCCTGCAGATACTCACGCATCATCTCCGGACATGTCCAGTTCCACCCCCACAGGAGGAAATCGAGCTTCAGCCCGAGCAGCACATCTTGAAATGCGCGTAGACCGATCTGCAGCACCCTGAGGGGAGACACTCGCAGCTGGGGAACCTTCGACATTGCGTTACCTGCACACACAAACGTTCTCCCTTTCGCTCGCTCTCTCACAATCGCCACTGCGCGTCGGCCGCTCAAGCACTGACTGCTCACTCTCTCTTCGCTCACGCTCAAGTTCGCTACTCGCAATTCTCTCCAAGGTCTGTCAAGATCCTTGCGCAACTCGTTTTCGCACTCTCTCCTCTCACTGCAGGTCTCTCCGCCCTTGCGCGTAATCTTGGAAGGTGGAACTCGCAAAATCAAGAATGAGAGAATGAGACTGGAGCGCAGTCTTTTCTTCTCCGAATTCAAGAACGTCCAACGTTCTTACTGGTTACAACGTACGCAGCCGGCTATACGGCCTAACGGTTCGCCCTTTGCATGTGCGAATTCACGTCTCCGCACTGCGCGCATTCGCATGCGTGAATGTTGAATTCTCCCGCCGCCGCCGTCTTCCGGACTCGAGTCCGCCGCAGGGTATACGTCGGCTATGTTGTCTTTCCCTAACCCGTCCATCACCGGAGGCGTGTCGCCGCTGGTGTGTTCCTTATCCATCGGCGCCTTGCTGGAGGCGCACATCCAGTCGGCGCGAATTACGCCGGCGCTTATTCGTACCGCTTATTTTGTCCTTTATGCCTCGTCCATTGCTGACGGCGCAAATCATACCAGCGCAAATCATGCCAGCGCATCCGGCCATCAGCGCCACATCGGAGGCGTACATCCGACCGGCGCGTTTCTTCCGTTGCTCAGCCGCCAAAGGCGCTTCCGACTTCGAGTTGATTTCCTCCCATGAGCGCGTGATTCCGCCGAAGGCGCATCGCCGAGGGCGTACGGGAGTCCTTTCCGGCTGTGAACCCTAGCGCGAACGGCGCATGTCCGGCTACGAGTTTTCCGACGCTCATAACTTCTTTGTCCCTGATCCATCTCCGACGCTCTTGGGCATGTTAGAACGAGCGTCCCGAGCTCTTTCTAATGCAACTTCAACCAATTGGAACTACCGTGTATTCCGCTCGTTATGAAGGTTTCCCTTTCCGCGCTAGCAGCGCATCGCCGAAGGCGCACTCATGGTCGGAAGCCTTCAGAGGTCCGGGCCCTTCTTCTGACGTCTTTAGCAAAATCTCCTCCTGAGGTGTCTGCGCCGGAAGCGTGGCTTCCTTAACCGCTGGAAGCGCGTGAGTAGAGACGCCTCAGAAAAGGAGCTTTTGCCGAAGGCGCCGAAGACATTGGCGTTGGTACATCCGACTACGCGATTCTTCGTGACCTCGTGACGATCTCCTTAATCCACTCTATTTAACGTACCCTTTTCTAACTACAAACACTGCTTCGGTACTAGTTTTCTAAAATTGTTTAAATTCTGCAAAAAAAACAAAAAGTGTGTTACCACATTTATTTGATTGTCAAACAAATAAAGTTAGGTTATTTGTATATATGTGATTAAAAGCACATTCATATCTATCCTGTTTGATTTTGTCATGGTTGAGGTTGAAAACATTTTAAATATTCTCTATTATTTTCCATCTTTACTCTTTTCCATCAAGTTTTCCATTAACTAGTGATTTATTTCACAACACTACATTATTTGTGTAACTTTCATTAAACTTCAAAATTAATTAGAGACTTCCTGCTTTTGAACCACTTCTTGTGATGATGCATTAATTTTTTTTCATCAAAGATTATTCAATTTTATTCACATTCAATGAAATAAATTCCAAAAATTGTTTGATGTTCATTCCATGTGATTTCATTATAATGATGATTTTATTTGAAAATACATGTGAGTGAATATTGTATGTTTTTTTAAATTCAAAACAAGAAATTAGATTGATTTTTAATGACCTGAAATCGTCTTCTTATCGATTACTAAGTATTGGATGTTATTCATGTTGGTTCATCTTGAAACTCTTTCCATGTTATGCTGCTATGTGTATATCTTTGTCATTTATTTTCAAATCTTTCATCTCACCTATAATTGCATTCAAAATTATATTCATATCATATGATGTCTCTATGACTTCACTCTCAAGAATATAACCTAAGACAATAATCCAACGTTGAGAACAAATCATCAGAGTAGTTTTTTACATTTGTGTAGGCTTGTAATGTGAAGACCGCGAACTAGCTGTATCAAGACTCACGGCAAGACAGACCCTTCGGTAATGTGGGGAAAAAGCATGCAACGTCTTCAATCAGATCTCGTCATTGAAAAGTGTGAGCGATCAATATTCTAACTCAAAAAAAGCTTGTTACTCCCTACCCTGTGATTGGACAATTGTGTCAGAAAGTCAGAGTAGATCTTGACTTTGTTGTGCAAGCGGAGAGCAAACGTGGGTGAATGCGCCAGTGTCATGATATGCTCGATGACGTCACATTGACAACTTCCATTACAACTTTCTTCTTTATTAATTAATCTATCTGGGATGCTTGATCTATTCGAGCAAGTGGATGTATTCTGACAGCTGAGTGGCACATGCCTAGTCAGCTGTTGCCCATTTGATATTTATGCGGAGATAGCCACAATTTACTAATTACTTGACTGAGAATCAAGTGTTACGTACCATTTCACTTTTAGGTATCTATCCATTCAGAGCATGGGAAGAAGTCACTTGTGCACTCGTATCTCGAACATTCATGAAATCAATAAAATTTGTCCAGTATTTTTATTTTTTTTGTATTCGTCGAGTCACAAGTAAAACCTGCGCGAAGACTGTAACCGAGGAAGACCATGTGGACTTCAATGCAAGTTGCTGGCTATTCAAGCTCAAAGATATTCAATGAAATGAGCCGATCTGGACAAATGGTACGGCTTGCACTCCTCAGTCGTGAGAAGTGTAAGCCATCCCATTTCACCGATCCTCCATTCTCTTTGGTTTGCATGCAACTGTGGATGTTGCAAGTCAAGAGTAACTGTGGTAACACACTTTTTGTTTTTTTCGCAGAATTTAAACAATTTTGGAAAAGAAGTATCGAAGCAAAGTCTGTAGTTAGGAAATGGTACGTTAAATAGAGTGGATTGAGGAGATCGCGGGTCACGGAGTTAGACGTACCGGCGCCAAACGCCTTCGGCAAGATCTCCTTTGCTGAGGTGTCTCTACCCACCCGTGCCGAAAACTCCTGGACGTGGTTGAGCAACTGGATGATTCTGAAACACGAGCATTTGATCTTGCCATCTTCTGCTGTACATCCAGTCTGGACATTCCAACACTTCCTCGCCAGCCCTGGGTCGATCAAGAGCACGATCACGCATTCACAAGTCCAATGATGAGGAGCTGGAAGTGTAAGTGTATATGCAGTGTCAATATATGCAAGTTTTTGGAAAACACTTGTCGAATCCATGAAATCCAGACAGTTTTAATTATGCCAGCCCAGCCGTGCAATTCGTTTATTCCGCAGCCCAACAGAAGTTCAGGAATTCCCTCTTATCGAATAAGAATTGAGAGTTTGGGAACAAGGTACCATTATCGAAGTCATCATTCGGTTTGCGTCCTTAGCTATGCGAAGATGATAGTTTCTAGGGACATATAGAGGCTCTCAAGGGCTTTGCCTGGGAACGATTATCTAAGTATGAAACTCAAATTGTTCGCACAAAAATTAAAATCTAAACGGATTTTCACATCATCATTCACTCTTTATCATCTCACTCATGCCTTCAACGTTCCTCCCTCGCATGTACGACAGAAAAACTCATTGCTCCCTAGAAGTTTATTCATTCAGATTAGTGACATGCGACTTTTCTTCTCCTCCTTATTACTCGAACTCAGAGCTCGGAGCCAAACCGATTGGAGGTGAGTGATAAGCACTGCAGAGCCACGAACGGCAATTAGAAGATGCATTTTCTTATTGTAGCTGTGACAGGAGAACTTGAGACTCTCTTCTTCCTTGTAGCACCCTGCATTCACTCGACCCGATCGAGATCACCAGCTGTTGAGAACGTAGTGATTTTATACGAGGGCGTAAACATTCAATTTGTCAGTCAAAGGCTAGAAGTGTAAGTCAGTCTGGGTTTTAATTTGAGTCTGAGTTCAGTGAGAAGGAAGAAGTTTCTAGGCTTGTTTAACCTCAATGCTGATTTTGGATACACGATGTAAACTTTAGGTTAAGTACAATATGTAAGCTTTGCTCGAGTCAAGGTTGAGACACTTCTTTTGAAATAAGGTTGCACTCTAGAAACTACTTTAGAATCTACAGCTGTAATTACGTAAAAGGTTCCTTGATTCCACTCGTGTATAGAAGTTCAGATCCTTATTGAGTGTAGGTAGTATATTGGTGGACTACTGAATAGTAACAAAACATGACGATTTTACAGACATATACCTTTCTAATTTACATTTTGCCACATGTCCTATTTTTTTTTCTCCTAAAACATATATTATCTTAAATGTATTTGCAAATTTACCACGAGAATATTTTATCCGACAGATTTTTTTCTGCCTATTCTAAAAGCTCTTATAATAGTTCTTACAAGAAAATGTTCTCTAAAAACGAGCGCATTCTATTTTCTACACTTAAAGCTTGATAAGACTAACAATGTTAGCTATTTTTTTTTATGACTGATCATGACTGGAAAAAATATAGATCAGTAAAAGAAGGCTAATCTAACTTCAATTCAGATGTGCATTGAAAGAAATTATATTTCTGCCAAGCATATGTCATAGCAGAATTTTATAATAATATTCGATCTCAAAGTTGATGGAGGTTGGGGTGAAGCGTGGCCGAAGGCTTTTGAAGATATTGCACAATTATGCAAGATTTTCAAATGGAGTAACATGATCTTTAAATGAATTACCACTAATTTTTTTTCTTAGGAATCGTGATCCAAACTCTTGTTGCAGACAGACCATAAAATAAAGTCTTCATTTGTATGAAGAAACAAAAAGAAATATTTTCAGTTTTCATAAAATAAAGTGTTCAGGTTTTTTTGGCTTGTTGTGCGTTGTTTACATATGTAGTCATCAATTAAGGGACAAATCCATTTTTCCCTTATATAATAATCACACATATATATATAAACTTAAACGCTTGAGTTAAACGACATCGATTTACTCATTAACTACTCTTATATGTGAATAGATTTATTTGGAGTCTTAGCTCTCTCCTCCTTCGTCTTGTATAAAATCAGTTGAAGCCTGAGAGTGATGAGGTCTTTATCAATGACATCACACTGAGACTTACTTGAGACAGTAGGAAATAGTTACATCTTGTCAATGACAGCATACTCAGACTTACTTGAGACGGTAGGAAATGGTTACACTTGTCAAAACAATCACTGTCATCCTCGCCATTTCGAACACACGTTGATAATTTCATTTATCAATTTGGGCCAACACTTGAACTCTCATATAAATTCTGGAGAAGGGCTTATGCTGCAACGCTCACTTCCCTTGGACTTATTTGTCTCCTGGAAAATCTCCATCGGTCCCTGAATCCAAGCACAACCAAAGTCACGTTTGTGCTAGGACGATGAGCTTGTCAGTTTTATTGCTTCCCCTCCTGGGACTTCTAGCCGTCGTAGAACAGGACCGCGGGCCGCTTCCTGCAGATAGAGCAATGGTGCAGAAGATTGGCAGAATCATTTCGGAGAGCATCGCGAGCCGAATTCCTGACGCGGATGGTCGTGCTTCGAATCTTGTGCAGGTCGATCCCGAGGAACGTACTAAGAACTCGTCCGCAGTTCGTGATCAGCAGGATGAGAGTCATTCGATCCCGGGTGCAACCAATATCATCACAGCAAGGGTGATAAACAAAATGGAGAGTGACCCAGTGAGGCTGTATTGCAATGTTTATGAGTACGGTCGCTCGACTGTCGAGTACAGAGCAGTGTTCTTGAAGCGTTTGGAATCTACGAGCTTTCAAATGAATCTGCCGGATGATGAGTTTGCAGATAGGCAGCTGATTTGCAGCTTTGCGTGGAGAGACGACAAATTCATGTGGTGGGCTCTGTACAAAAATAGTCCTCATCGCTATGATGAGCCACTTTCCAACTGGCTTGTGAATGAGCAGGGTCTTCACTACAAGACCAAGGCTCTTGGTTTCTCCCTCGTTCGAGAATGGGAGAACTGGTAACCAGCGGAAAAACTCTTCAATTGGTGTTCTGCATCCAAAATTTTGGACTTCAGATTTCAAGGCTGCTACTTCTGGTGTAGATGCTCGACGGGAATAATTTTGAGGTTCCTAGCTAAAGTAGCTTGTGGATCTAACAATGAAATCTGAATCTTCTCAAATTTGTCTTTGAACATTTTTACAAGATTTCAAGGAAGAAGTACTGGCTCGAGTACCGTCTCTTTCGATTCATTTGGACTTCTTATGTCCCAGCAGTAATTGATTGAAAAAATTTCATCTTCGAATGACAGAAATTAAATTACATCCATTAAGATGATGGTATGAATGTGTTTACTGCTGTGAAGAAAGATATTTCTCTTGCTGATTCAATTCTGGTCTTAAAAGGAAAAATTTCCTCACCAGAATTGAGTTTCGCCGAAAGTTCTACGAAAAATTGGACGGACCTTCACTGTTCGTCTCTTGTGATACATGTATCAAGCTCCTCGAATTTCTGGAAGGTGTGCACCTAGAGCGTGGTAAATTCACTACATCCACTCGGCTCGACTTCGGCAAATTGTGTAACATCTTCGTAACATTGCTGGCCCAGAAGATTTCGTGCATATTTGAAAACTTCGATCCAAATGAACTGCGAATAAGCACTGGTCAATGCATTTTTTTCTCTGAAATTTGGCCGCGCAAGGCGAGCTCGTATTTCTCTCTCCGCTGCTCCAGTCCATCGGTCACGGACGATAAACCTCGACTCTCCACATCGTCTATACTGACAGAGAAAATGTGGAATTTAGTCACATTTGTACCTTCTAACTTCATATATATGAAAAAATTGGTAAATGAGGTTCCGTCTGGAAGGGGTATGGATCACTGAGGCGCCGACGTGTCTTACGAGGTTAAAGTTTTTCATAAAATATCGAATAAATGTGCGGCGTATGGGGAGAACTAATCTCGGACTCAAGACAGTAATTTTCCTACTGTAATTGCCTTTGCAAGCTAGGCGAAATTGCTGCATGCATGCAGTTCAGGCGCAGATGTGAGATGTCGGTCCATGCCTCGCTGTCATGGATGCAAGACTCGGTATGTTGCTGTTTCGACACGAAACTGATTAACAGAAGAGCTACAAAATTGGTTTGCTGATAAAAGTGAGCTTTGTAGAAAGATAGAATTTCCAAATTAATGTTGTATCTTTGAAAAGACACTGATTCATCAGACTGTTGGACTCCACATCTGGCCATGAAAGTTACGTTGAGGCTAGTAGCTGTAAAACAGATGTAACCATGTGTCTTTTTGAAAAGACACTGATTCATCAGACAGTTGGACTCCACATCTGGCCATGAAAGTTACGTTGAGGCTAGTAGCTGTAAAACAGATGTTAACATGTGTCTTTTTGTTCTCGACGGCGAGCCTTAGATGAACTGATCAAATATATAGCTGCGTTGGAATATACTTGTCGTGCTAATACAAAGACTGCATTTAAATGTTTTGAACTGAGAAGAAAATGAAGTAGATGATTGTACTTCCAGAGTGAAGTCAGTTGCTTGAATCTCTTGGTTCGAATCTTGGTAGGTCGACGAGCTCCTTCTATGGATTCAGTCAGAGTAAACGTTGGCATGCACTCCTCGTCTTCCCAGAGAATAAATTTCTCGGGAAGAATGATAGAGAAAATTGGCTACACTCATCGACGTCTACCTCATCAAGCTGATATCCATCACCTCTTCCCACTTCCCCTTTCCCGAATCTGGGAATCCAGCATAATTGTAGTCTCAATGCTCATCAAAGCTCTAACTCTTCAAGCAGGTAAAGTAGAGGAGATTTTGAGGATCTCTTTAATTAATACTAAATATTCAATTGACTGGTGACATCCTGAACACGAGTATCATATCATAAATTATTTTTTCCAGTAAATGATATATCCATCTGATGAAACTTCCACTAAATCATAATAACAAATATTTTTTTTGAAATAATTCCTGGCGGTGTCTGCTGAAGATCACAGAAACAGGAAACTGTTAAGCACGAGCAGAACACTGAGAAAGTAGCCGAATCGCATTGACGTTGAACAAAGAAACGAACTCCTCTAGATCCTTCTGGCACTTCCAGCGATGACCATGTCTCACTGGGAAAGCTGTCTTTGTGTCACAACCGTCTCGTCTGTTTACGTTGCCGCGTCCATCTACGAGCTCGGTCCCCATTGCAGGTGACCTTGCTTACAAATACATGCGATGGCAAATGAAACCTGGTGTTCCTGACTTGGTCATGTACTGCAGAAAATATCTACTTGTTTAACAGGAGAAGTGCAGGTGGTACCAGAAACGTAAGATCAGACAGCTTACATCCCATTCGCATGGTTCTCAAGAAGCACATATTGAATGCCTCAATCGGGCCCTGTTATGCATGTATTTATGTACTGTCTGAATATTTTCTGTGTTGGAATTTTATCTTTTTCTTGAGAGTTTAGTGGCGAGTTGACGACCCAGCCGAAGTAAACAACTGAAATCCAGGATTTTGAGCCTTGCGGATACGAAGTAAATCATAAAGTGATGCAAGGTATGAGCTCCAATACCATTCCATTTTGTCTGTTTTGATCCCGTACAATTGTTCTAGTGATTCATTTGTCAGATAAATTTCGGCCATATTCAGTGCAGAAGATTTGAGCTTTCTTGAGACAGACTCCCTTCATGTCGAGACACGCAGATGGCCCTGAACACGCACATCCTATGATCCTATTCCAGACATTGCAGTCTTCTAGCACACTCAATCTCACCTGGTCTGATATTCCAAGTTGCTGTCAAATCACCACGATCTACCGAAGTTTTTTCTCCTCTATCGTCATGCTCGTGTATCTTTGTTTTCTCTTCCTCTCTTGCTGATGCCTGATTTTGTTTACTGCGCTTCTTTTCCATTTGCTCTAACGTAAGGCGTCAACTCATAGTTCAGTGCTCGGCACAATACTTCTTGGCTATAGTACTTGGATAGAAAACAGGAGGAATTTTGCTAGTTTGTGTTAGGTTCGAATGTACTGTGTTTCCAGTGTATGTTGATATTCGAGCTCATACCTTGCATCGGTTTACGATTCACTTCGCACCGGCAGTGCTCAAAATCCTGGATCGCAGTCGTTTACTTAGGCTGGGTCGTCATAGCGCCAGTAAACTCTCAAGATAAAAATAAAGTTCCAACACAGTAAATATTATGACAAGACATAATGAATGCACAACAGGCCTGGTTTGAAGCACTAAATATGTGCTTTCCTGGGAAACCATGTGAATCTGATGTGTGGTGTCTGATATTGCGTTTTGAGGATCACCTGCACTTTTCTTTCTAAACAACGAGATAACTTCTGCAGTCTATGACCAAGTCAGGGACACCAGGCTTTACTTGCAATCGAATGTTTTTTTGTGAGCAAGCTCATACACAATTGGTACGTAGGTCGTAGGTGGACTGTGTAACGTAAACGGACAGAGACGCTATACTCTGACTGAATCCAGAGAAGGAGCTGGTCGGCCTACCAATATTCGAAGCAGGAGATACCAGCAGCTGACTTCACTTTGGAAGTACAATCTTATTTCCTGTATGCAGACCGTGGTGGAGAATAATCCTTACTGTAGTGTATTGAACACCATTACTGGTAGCGCAAAAGTGTCAAAGCTCAAGGGTGGAGATAGAGCTGTTGTGGACTTTGTGGCAGCAGTCGGAACAGGACCCAAGGAGCCGATGCAGAAGGTAAAATATACGCCCGGATCTGAATATTGTATCAATGCGTAAATTGTAGCTGTGTTCTCCACCTTTTATTATTGGAGAAATTTGGTGTGCTTATTTTTTGTCTTTGGAATTGGTATGGACCTTCACAAGTAAGCATTCGGATGCGATACGGTCGTAACCCTGTTATTGGAGACAGGTTCAGTAGTCGGCATGGACAGAAGGGTGTGCTCTCACATCATATTGACATGCCATTTTCAGCTGTTACTGGAATGCGACCTGATCTTATTATCAATCCCCACGCCTTTCCATTCAGTATGACGATTGGGATGCTCATGTAATCAATGGCTGCCAAGGTAACTCCTGAAACGAAGTAATAGTGCTATTCGATGATCAATCATCTGACGTTTTTGGAGATAGAATATTATTTGTATGGGAGGAACAATGCGGGTGCTTGTTGTTTAGAAGAAACAGGATACGTCAGGTTTCTGAGCGGCTCAACTTTTCTCAGGTTGGCGTTTTAAGAGGGAAGTTTATAAATGCTACGCCATTTCCAAAGTGCGCTGCCGAGTCGAACAGCAACCAGAAAAATAAGGATGAGTCTCTTATCGACAAGTATGGAAAGCAGTGAAAGGAATACGGTTTCAGTTACCATGGCACAGAAGTCATGTATAGTGGTGTCTTGGGCACAGAACTTACGTGTGAAATTTACATCGGCTGTGTGTACTATCAAAGAGTTCGTCATATAGTTGGAGACAAGTATCAGGTGCGCGAAGCTTGGCTTATATCATATGGCTTTTATCTCAAGAAGTTCGTGCAATTTGGAATATTAGATCTGGACTTCTTGCGAAACTGAGTTATGTTGTTTAGTTCATCATGGGATCTTACAATGGATAGATCTATGTTGTGTGTCATGCTTGGTTTTGTCCGTTGCCGCACCAAATGCATAACTAAATGCCTGTTCATCCCGTAATTTTGTCCTTAGGTGAGATCCACTGGTGCTGTGAATCCTGTGACACGACAGCCTGTTAAAGGCAAAATTTTGGTGGTGGTACTCGTTTCGGAGAGATGGAGCGAGATTCGTTACTTGCTCATGGTGCAGCGTACTTGTTGCATGATCGGCTACATACTTGCTCAGAATATCATCCTGCGGACATTTGTGTTCGATGTGGAAGTCTGTTGTCTACCACACCTGTAATTCAGCAGAAGAGCAGTGCAGCTTTTGCTATGGGATTACGGTCAAGTAAAGAGAGCAAAGTCATCTGTAGATGTGCAATTCAAGTCGGGATATTGAGCTTGTCGCCACGACTTACGTTTTCAGATATCCTGCCTCAGAGTTGGCAGCCATGAACATCAAATTAACACTTACAATGGCTGATATGTAAAAGTATATCTATTTTCTGCTTCACATCATCCCCATTTGTACATTTGACGAATTTGAATGCAATGCACTTTTGTCCAGCAGAGCGGATGCTTTGAGTTTACCACGCTCTTTGAGTGCACACCTTCCAGAAATTCTAAGGAGCTTGATACATGTACCACAAGAGACGAATTGTGAAGGTCCGTCCAATTTTTCGGAGAACTTTCGGCAAAACTCAATTCTGGTTGGAAATTTTCATTTATGATCAGAATTGAATCAGCAAGAGAAATATTTTTCTTCACAGCAGTAAACACATTCATATCTTCTTGTTAATGGATGTAAGTTTATTTTTGGCATTCAAAAATGGAATTTTTAAATTAATTCCAGCCAGGACAAAAGAAGTCCAAATGAATCGAAAGAGACGGTATTCGAGCCAGTAGTCCCTCCTTGAAAACTTGTAAATATGTTCAAAGACAAATGTGAGAAGATTCAGGTTTCCTGGTTAGATCCACAAGCTACTTTAGCTACGAACCTCAAGATTATTCCCGCCGAGCATCTACACCAGAAGTAGCAGCCTTGAAATCTGAAGTCCAAAATTTTGGATGCAGAACACCAATTGAAGAGTTTTTCCGCTGGTTACCAGTTCTCCCATTCTCGAACGAGGCAGAAACCAAGAGCCTTGGTCTTGTAGTGAAGACCCTGCTCATTCACAAGCCAGTTGGAAAGTGGCTCATCATAGCGATGAGGACTATTTTTGTACAGAACCCACCACATGAATTTGTCGTCTCTCCACGCAAAGCTGCAAATCAGCTGCCTGTCTGCAAACTGAACATCCAAGATAGAAGCACCATGAATCCCCTAGAACTATTATGTTATAATCTTAGTTCTAAATAAGAGTTGAGATAAAATGTAATGCTGATAGAAAGTATGATACTAAATCTACTGAAAAAATAGAGATATTGAAGTTATTAAATTTGATGATGGGAACTCAAGATTCACATTAAAATGGATGTACATTTCAAATTCCCATAAATTAAGCTCCTACCAAGAATTTATATCATCTCTGTTCAGGAGTAGATGTTTATGAACTTCGAGATAGTTATCAAAAAGTGACACTGTGATATTATTTGTATATCAGTAATAAAAGTTTTAAACATAGATATTATTTAGAGCAGAAATAAAAAATCAAAAGAATACCTGGTGTTACATAGCAAGAATCTAAATACTTCAAGCTTCGATCCGTTACTCTTGACTTGCAACATCCACATCTGGATGCAAACCAAAGAGAATGCAGGGTTGGTCAAATGGTCTGGCTTACACTCCTCACAACTGAGGAGGAGCCCTTCCAAATCCGCTCATTTCATTAAATATCGTTGAGCATATAGCCAGCAACTTGCATTGAAGTCCACACGGTCTTCCCAGGTTACAGTCTTCGCGCAGCTTTAACTTATGACTCCTTTGCAAGGATCCAGACAAATACAAACTTCAGTTCCAGAGAAATCTCATGCACAGAATTCCATTAGGTTGTAAACTCCAATTCCAAATTGGCGAGTTTCAAATCGAATTAAATATTCAGATATTGTGATCCGTGTTGACAGGTTTGTGCTCGCATTTGCAAGGTGACCATCCGAGTCAAACCGGTAGAGAGAGAAATGGGACATCGGATTTGCAACAAATAACTGTTACGAGGAAAACTCATTTCTTGCGACGGGCACTACTTGCAACTTGTCGTTATTGCAAGTATATATCCGTTAGCTCGAACTGGGAATTTGTAGCCGAGCAGAAGAATGTCATGGCAATGTCTCGAGTCAATATGTCAATCCATTATTTAAGCATTGTCACGACACATCTGTTGTGCAACGGCATGGCGAGAACGGTGAGTAACATAACTTGCGTAATTCGAATATGCGTTATTTATCCTTTGACTTGGATTTGTCTCCATGACATGGAGTGCCTTCTAATGTATACTCTGGCTGAATTCACACACGGTTCTCGGTCCGCAAACCGAGTTTAGATCCAGGAGATTCCAGCAGCTGAATTCACTCTGAAGGAACAAACACCCACTTCAAGATTTCCTTGGTTCAAAATATTTGAAATGCTATCCATGTTTTAGAACGATTAGTAATTCCAATGCAGGCGTATTTTGGACCGATCCATCTCAAGCTCGCCATGGAGGATGAAGAGACATTTGTTTACGGCTAGTAGCGGTCAAACGGCAAGGTATACTTCTTGCACCAGATCTGGACTTCATGAAAACGGTTGAGAGGATATCTAACGATTCTGGTTAAGGAAAAATTTCAAAAGCAGTTGATTTTGCGGTTGACAGAAGGAGACGTTGCTCTGAAGCCTCGGGTGACAGCTCTAAAGGTTCAAGCTGTATCTTCGAAAACATACTGATTTAGATCAATCAGTATGTTTTCGAAGATACAGCTTACATTTGCAAGTTCTATTGATAATGTCCGCTCGGTGCAGGCTAGTGATAGGTCGAAATGTGCGTAGTGAGGCAGGTACACTGACTAGGGCATAGACTGTGTCAAGCTCATAAATTCGAGCACACCTTCGGGAGGCGAGTATAAATCCTGCCCTCCGTACACCACTAACATCGGCAGGTCGCCGGGCATATCTTTCAGCTCGTAAGTCGGAGGGTCGGTTTTGCCCTCGTATGCCAGGGCATTGAAGGCTGCGGACCCGTAGTCGAAGTGCTGAAATGTATTCGTGGAGATTCCTGCAAGCAACCAATTCACGCGCTGATGTGAGAAGTCAGTCTAGACTTCGCTCCGAAAGTATCAAATCCATATGAAATCTCGATCTAGCCCTGCCTGCCTTCCTTCCTTCTAATCTAGTGAAGATCGATCATCCAGTTTACCCTGATAGAGGTGCTGGAGATTCTTGTACGACGTCACTCCATCCCACCTTTTGGCGAGCGAGAGCACACTCGGACCCAGACAGCACTCGGGGCTTATTATGTACATGCAGACAAAGCAAAGGAAACCGGTTCAGATTCAAATCCGATTCTACAAACATATCAATCGACAGAAGGGTATCGATAAACCGAATCATCCCACGAGGCCCATTTATCTAAATCACTGCGAATAACCAAATGAAGAAGGGATGTTGCGTCACCCGAGATGGCGAACCGCAGATGAATAGCGGGGCTGGTCAATGGAATGGCATCTAGATGAAACTCCCTGGGGCACGACGGATCAGTATTAGCTTCCGATCTTTCCTAACTTCACCAAACTCATTTCATGGTTGCTGATGTGGATAGATTGAAGATAGTCGATTTCACGTCAAGTCAAGCATGCCTGCTGATGCCATACTCACCTCGGAAAGTTGAACGCACCGAGCCTGCGGTCGTGCCATTCGTCGTCGCTCGTGCCAAAAGCCTGAAATCACAATACAGCGGCTGTCATTGTCGATTCTTGATTGCAATCCCCACTTGTCGGCACTATCAAGTCTGACGTTATGAAACAGAAATGGAGAAGGCGGTCGGAAGCCTCACCGAGGGAAATAGAATAGGATCCCAGGCTTGCAGTAACTCTGAAGTAGTCTTTCCCCGATAGACGGCGGGAGCTATCAGAGTCAGAGTTTTCATGAGAGTGGCGACGCCCGCGTTCGTGGCTGCGGCTGCTCCGACTGCAGCGCTCTGCATACATCCAACCAGTCACGGCAAATAAGCTTGAGCTCGCAGCCCGAATGTTGATCTTACATGTAGGGAGGGAGGAAATCACGTAATGAATACATTTACGCACCAGAGAGACACCGACGTAATGCACTCTGGAGCCAGTCTCGTCGCTGATGTATGTCAGCAGCTTCGGAACGTCGTGCTCTACATGCTGATCCCAAGTCCAGTTCCAGTACGCCTGCATGGTCGTATCCTTCCAGTCAGTCATTAGCAAGAGCCAGAAATTACTTGCAAAAACGCCACACAAATGCTTCGAACCGTCAATTTCCAAGCGAAAATCAACAGACCGAGAGGATCGTGTTGCACGTACAGCATCGTTGGGAGTTGTTGGGAGTTAGCTTCCGATGCTCCAGAGCGTCGCCCGCTCGTGACCGATCCAAACATCGAAGCCCTGGTCCACGAGCCTGAGCGGGAGGAGAGTGTCGTTCTCCGTGGCCACGTGCGTGAACCAGGTGTCCCCGTTGAGAAGCTCGTGGTGCATGAGCAGAACCGGGTTCTGGTCGAGTTCTGGTTCGAGTCCGAGGTTGCTCTCGGCCATCGCTGCTAGTAAGTCCCCTCCTTGCAATGTTCGGCGAGGACAAGCCACGTGGACATTCAGCACTGGAACTGGAAGTAGATCGTCCTGACCCGGTCGGTGGGGAGCTCGTTGACGATGGAGGTGAGCCTCCGTATCCGGATCCACCAGGTGGTGGGGAGAGAGCAGATGTTGATGGTGCTGACGATCCCTCTCCGTAATTCCCCGTACCTGGTGGCGAGTTCGATTCTGGAGGACTGGGAGAAGAGTAGGAAGTTGGCGTCGTGGATCCTCCTCAGTATGGCTTCGTACTAGCAGGACTCGGTGCTCCATATCCGCCAGCGGCAGGAGGAGGGTTGATGGACGTGGGAGATGGAGATCTTGCTCCTATTGTACCGGCACTTGGTGGTGAGTTCCTAGAACCGGTGGAACTGGGTGCCCCATAACCAGCGGCTGCCGGGGGAGAGTAGGACGATGGAGCTGAGTTCGATCCTCCATATGTGCTTGCGCCTGATGGGGAGAACGCAGAAGGAGTAGGAGTTCCATATCCACCAGGTGGAGAGGAGGAAAACGATGGCGGAGATGGTACTCCATATGCTCCTTCTCTTGGAGGCGAGGAGGAGGACGGAAGGCTCGGACCTCCATAGCCACCAGGTGGAGAGTAGGAGGACGGCGGCGGAGATGATCCTCTATATGTGCCTTCACCTGGAGGCGAGAAGGAGGAAGGAGGAGGACTTGGAAATGGTGGAATTTCTGACCTGCTGCTAGGACTTGTGTCCGAGGGTACAGCCTCAGGAGCTGGGCGTGCTTTCTTGAACCAAGGGAAGGGCCCCTGGTGTTTGTGATTATGTCGGAGCTCCAGCTCTAGCCATTCCCACACAGACTTTTCCAGGCTTCCCCGAAGTATAACCCGATGCAGACTAAGCATGTAACCATCCTCCGAATATACCTGCCAGTGTACACAAATGACACATAACCCAACCACGTTCAGCTATCTTCTGATTGCACATTCTGAATGAAGTCATGGCTTCTTAAAACATGCCAAAACAAAAGCGAAAGTTGCAGTTAATTTGCCACTATTCTGGTGCAGAATACTGATGAGTAAAGCGGACAGAGACTCTTGTAGTAAATGAGACCACTAACCTCCTGCTCTTTGCAAATATATCCTCGAGGAAGTACATGAATCTCACAGAAGGTCAACGACGCATGCGCATCCATCTTCGGCATCTCCACGCCTTGGCTCACAACAGCCAGAGTAGCAATTAAAGTAGCTAGTGACGGCCATGATGATAAGGGCCGATTGCTCGACCCCATTGTTCTCAGTTGGCCGACGATGCACGAACTGTCGTACACTTGATGTTGCTGATTTTGACACACAATTGATTTAAAAAAGGCAGGAGACGATATAGGTTTGCTCCTGAGTTCGACACACAGCTGATTTGCAGAAAGGCGAAAATAAAGGTTTGCTGATAAAACTGAGCTTTAGACAACGATGGAACTTGCAAATGTATGCTGTACCTTTGAAAAGATACTGAATGATTACTACCTTGCCTCTTTATGGCTATCACCCGAGGCTTCAGACCAACGTCTCCTTCTGTCAACCGCAAAATCACTGAATTTGAAATTTGTCCTCGAGAAGAATCGTCAGATATCCTCTTCGAACGGTTTTCATCGAGTCCAGATCTGGCCCAAGAAGTATACGTTGCGGTTTGACAGCTACTAGCCGTAAACAAATGTCTTCATCCTCCATGGCGAGTTTGAGATGAATTGGTCCAAAGTACGGCTGCATTGGAATTATTCATCGTTCTGAAACAAAAATCACATTTCAAATATTTTGAACTAAGGAAAACTTGAAATGGGTGTTTGTTCTTCCAGAGTGAATTCAGGTGCTGGTATCTTCTGGATGTAAAATCGGTAAGCGGATGAGGTCCATGTGAGAATTCAGCCAGAGTATACATTGGCAGGCACTCCTTGTGCTGCAGACAAATCCAAGTCAAAAGATAAGTACCCCATATTCGAAGTACGCAACTTACGTTTCTCACCGTTCTCGCCATGCCGTTGAAAAACAGATGTTTCGTGACAATGCTTAAATATCGGATTGATATATCTACTCGAGACATTGCCATGACATTCTTCTACTCGGCTGCAATTCCCCGCTCGAGCTAGCGGGTATGTACTTGCAGTAACGAGGACTATAAGACTTGCTACAAGATTGTAAGAAGCGTACCACAATATCTCCATTTGATGGAGACAATGTGGACAGATTGAAGATACTCGATTTCACGTCAAGTCAGGCATGCTGCTGATGCCATACTCACCTCGGAAAGTTGAACGCATCGAGCCTGCGGTCGTGCCATTCGTCGTCGCTCGTGACCAAGGCCTATAATCACAATACAGCGGCTTTCATCAACATGATTATGCATCGTCCATTCTCGATTGCAAACCGTAGGCGGCACTATCAAGTCTGACGTGGAGAAGGCGCTCGGAAGCCTCACCGAGTGAAAGAGAATATGATCCAAGGCTTGCAGGAAAGCTGAAGTAGTCTTTCCCCGATATACGGCGGGAGCTATCAGAGTCAAAGTTTTTATTAGACTGGCGACGCCCGCGTTCGTGGCTGCGGCTGCCTACGTCCAGCTCCACCACGTCCAGCAAAATCTCCTCCTCCTCCCTCCGTCCCGAGTTCTGCACCACCTAAATAACGCACATTCGAATTACGCAACTTACGTTTCTCACTGTTCTCGCCATGCACAACAGATGTGCCGTGACAATGCTTAAATAACGGATTGATATATCGATTAGAGACATTGGCATGACATTCTCCTGCTCGGCTACAAATTCTCAGCTCGAGCTGGCGGCTATATACTTGCTATAACGACAAGTTGCATGTATGTGCCCGTTGCAAGTTAATGAGTTTCCTTCGTGACAGTTATTCGTTGCAAAACCGATGTACCATTTCTCTGTCTACCGCTATGACTCGGATGGTCACCTTGCAAATCCGAAAAAAAACCCGTCAACGCGCATCACAATTTCTGAATATTTGATTCGAGTTCAAACTCGCCACCATGAAATTGGAGTTTAGAACCTCCTGAAATTCCGTGCATGAGATTTCTCTGGAACTGAAGTTTGTATTCGTCTGATCCTTGCAAAGGAGTCACAAGTTAAAGCTGCGCGAAGACTGTAACCCGGGAAGACCATGTGGAATTCAATGCAAGTTGCTTGCTATTCATGCTCACTGATGGTCTTAAACGAGGATCACCAATAATCAAGTGCTGACCCTAATGCGTTCTGCAATACAATCCAATTGTTAAGCAGCTACATGCTTGTGAAAGATCGTTCATCATCAGAATCCTGCAATATGAATAGCGATTAGAAAGTAATTTGCTCATCAGTATTCTTGTCCACGACCAAAGTGAGCCTTCCTTAAAACCGCAGTAGGTCATTCATGCTCTTTGCGTGAGTTGATGCTATTGATCTTCGAATATTTAAAATGGTTTGGACGTGCTTCTTTTACGAAGCCTAATACACATGAATCCTTTTCCGCTTCGATATGTAGTTAATCAAGACGACATGAGCAGATGTCCAACTTATTCTTCAACTGCTGAACTTGGCAAAATCTACCAGAATATAATAGTGACTAAGGGTCCCTGCCCATAATCTAATCTTACACTGCTAAACTCGATATACTGCATAGATTGCAGTCAGTAATATACCTAAGAGCTTATGTGAGAAGCCTATATGAAAAACGACCTAGTTGACATCTTACTCCAATTTAAAGACTGTTCAGGGCATCTTGTTCAGTGATCTCGTTTTCCAGGAGTGTCGATGCTTATGAGGTAATGATTATTTCTTACTATCACTAGGTACTCTTGCTCTGCTCTCCCAGTCTTACAACAGTCCTATTCATATGAAATTTTTTCTTACAATCAGATGAAAACTCCCAACAAATGTCTAAACTAGATGTATACGTTTTGATTCTAGAACAATTCATCGCTAGAGCTCTTGAATTGTCTACCGTATCGTGATATTCATTCCTAAGATGAGTATCCGACCTAAATAGGTGAGCTCAGGCGGGTTCTTAGGAGACGACCTTTCCCAAGCCACAATACCTTGCAGTCGGCAACATACAAACCATCTTCTTCATGGTAACCAGCGGAGACAGAGTCTCGGCAACACGTGGATACGGTACTCAATTTGGGTGACTGGTGTGATTACCAAGATTTATATAGGGATACGTCAACATTGTTATAAGTTGAAGTCTTTCAGCCAGACAATCGTCGACGACAGTAAGAATCGGCTACATTCGAATGGCAGCACTCGAATGAATTTCGTTCTAGTTGACAGATTCAATCTCCACGAAGGAGCAGGCTCCTTCCCGTGACCTTTTACATGACCGGTGTACCAGATTCAGCTTGCATATTTTGTCACAGGTGTCGCGAGAGGTCAGACAGAAAAAAAACTCATTTTTCTTCTTGTCTAACACTTTGTGTAATTGGAATCAGATGATAAGAAGTGAAATTCAGCAACAACATACTGACCATTCCATGTTTCATACATTCAAGAGAAGATTTCACCACTATCAAAATTATGATAGTAGAATGAAATTTCAAAGCATTCTTCAGTTGAGGTTCTCGAAAATGTCAATCATCGAATTAACCTAGATATGTGATGATCAGATTAAATATGATAAATGCCCGCATAACAGTCAAAGCACTTTCCATTTTAGACATTTCCTACCTGCAGTGAGGGAAGACCTTCGATTAGAGTAACAAATCAAACTTTCCACCTCCAGCCAACAGTTGTGAATATATTTCCGAAGGTCTTCCGTCACTGCAGCAATCGATTAAGGCTAATATGATCAGTTATCTATTTACCCAATTTCTGTCTTCAGGGGTTTGGACTAAGTGTCAAAGTAGGAATACACAACGTGCAAGGCATTAATCTAGAAATCAACTCAGCTCTGAAGTAGAACTCTATGTAGATCTGGCTGGAACTTCTCGGTTTATAATTTGAGGCATGAATGAGAGATGTATCGAGAAGGGCGATGCACACGAGATATAAATCGCATCAGCTTGAAACGGTCGAAAATTTTGTCGAAGGCGAAACGGAAAAAGACAGGCTTGCTGTCTCTTTCCGTGTCGCCTCAGACCAAATCGTCGACGATCCTGCAGGTTGATTCAACATTTGAAAAGCTCATGGAAAATCATCAATTTATTCTAAGAGCGGACTTCATCCTTTGTAGCGGACTTTATCTCATTTGCAGCTGTACATGACAAATATCTTGGACCAAAGCAGCTCATATATCTGAATCATTCTCGAAAACATAGGCTAGCATCTGCTAACATTTTTTTCGTCAAAATCTGGTCGGTTCCTGCCAACCTGATGACAATGGTCTCGGCCAAGCGTTGTTGCTCTAAGTGGATTTCTCTCTGAGCAGTCAGATCTCGAGTTACTCCTCGTATGGATAAAAAGAAGACGCAGTCTGTACGCTTCTTCTTTGCAGATTTTATCATGTTCCAAGTTTTCCCAGTCTTTTGCCGCACATCAAGACATTAATGCTACTTCTCACGCACTGCATGTCTATGCAGAATCCAGCCGAGCAGGATTGCTAGCTCCATTAAAAATCAATTATACGTGACCCTCGAGGGACCAATTAACACCCGCCGTGGGTAGATACAACTGCTGCTCATGTTGGCACTGAACTGTTCCCCTTATTGAGGCATAATCCATTGCATAAACTGTGGAAATTGTTAATCTTCATCTCAGGCAGAGAAGCAGCTTGCAGAGGTTCTGCTGATTTGCCTCGGATGATATAAGACACGATGGCCTCCATGTTTGGCTGAGGCAGCGAGTATCACAACACATTATCTCAAATAAACTGATAAAAATATTTTCTGCATAAGATGACACATGTAAACAATTATCCGGCATTGAGTGAATCCTGCGACTCTGCACGCAAATTTCATGCGATTATTTCCACATCACTTATTTCTTTGACCAGGCAAAACTTGACGTCTAGGTCCCAAGCCATTTCCTTTTATGTAACCGCTTTTTTGGCACGTCCCATGAAAACCAGAGCCTATCACCATGAACAAGGCACAAAATGGAAGATTGAATCGCATTTAAAATTTTTTTCAAAGGGAAAATAAGAATTCGAGTATGAACATCGACTGTGTATGAACATGGTTTGATTCAATGAATTGAAATGAAATCAAGACATCAGATGTTTATCCTTTGAATTAAACTAAATACAGTTTGTATAAAAATTTTTGATGACAAATCCTTCTGTGAAGTTATTAGATTAATGGCAAGATCGGGAAGCTAGGATAGATATAGAAAATGTAATCAATAAACCACTTGCACAGCTCAAGTCTTGCGTCTCAGTCGAGAAGCAATCGACGGCCATGACATGACATGGAGGTAATACATCATCTAGCCTGGAACCCTTCGACGGTGGACAGTCGCGAAGACTCGTCCTTGGGCGTCAAGTCC